GCTTGTATTTGAGCCGTGGTTAGGCTCTCAGACTTGACCGTAGGTCATTATACCTCGTCAAAGGGTGGTTTGTCTCTCATGTTATCACATGGCACATCCCATATTATTAGACTAGTCTCTGAATATATATATTATTTTGCTAGTAACAAATAATCCCATTTAAATTGAAGCGGAACCCCAGTGTTATGGGAGATTCAGAACCCGAGGAAACTAGACTTGCTTTATTAAGGGCTTTAGCATTGCAGAGGGCCTGACAGTAGGCAAAATAATGTGGTTCAGGGACTGTGAGACAGACTAGCCATATTATGTAGATATTAGCGTAATGTGCCTGAAATATTGCTGACTGAAGGCGTTAAATAAATTTCAATCATTTATATAAACGAATAACTATTGCAATGAAATATATACATTTGAGCCAATTACTGTTTGTCATGACGAAAAACGAATAATTCATGCGTTTGGCTCTACCGGAGATTATACGATAAATATCGAGAACATGAACAAAAATAACGCAAAGAAGTCAGTGAGACAATGAATTAAAATGTCTGATATATTGTTATACCATGGCTAGTGTTAGTGTTATAACATGGCTAGTGTTAGTGTTATACCATAGTTAACAGTCCCTGAGAAAAACTGGCCTCTTAATCGTGGTGTAAAACACTTGTGTTCTTCAAACTAATAAATTATTTCATGTAATCAGACATTTAAAATATCCCAAATTTACACACCTCGCGATTTCCCCACAGCTAACAAGTCTCCGATCTACCATCTATAATTCATTCACAGAAATTCCTCATCGACCTTGACCTTTTAGCTATGAAATGACCCTTAGGTGCTCCTCAAACTCAAAACAAGGGATTTACGATGCCCCTAAATTATGCCAAGGGCCATTGAATATTGGACAAACATCCACGAGCCTCCGACTACCAGAAGCAGTGTAGCCGCAGCGAGCGTTCCCCTCGAGAGTAATAAAGAGAAATCTTGCCCCTGTTTCAGCTTACCCCAGGGTTTACTGGATCAATTTCTGTGGGTAGATTGTACGGCTTTATAAGTAGTTGTTAGGATAGTATTATGAACGTGAAAGTGATCTTAAACCGTATAATTGACTCAAACAATACAGACTAAACACGGGGAGTGCTGTATGAGCATACTAAGTCCCTTCTAGGGGCCCTTTATTTGCTCTCCGGTGTGACCTTTACGGCAAAGCGGGTCTGCCATTTATCCGCGAGCTCTACAGTTCGGTAAACAGACTTAAGACGTTTGTGACAGTTATTAGAAGTTGATGTACCTGAGTGTACATCAAAATATCAGATCAGGTGTGAATGGCGTTGAATCAGGTACGAGGCAACAAAGAGATATTTACTTCACCCAGAGAGGTATTACCGTTAGCTGAATGAAACTCTCGGATGAAACCTAACAGTTCAATGAGACTTAAGTAGAATGGTGTTGTTAAATGTTGTTCTTTTCTCATATTTTTCAGAGGATTAATAAATATAAATTTTATCAAAAATATAATTATATTCAAGAACATGATGTTTAAAGAGCCAAGGAAATGTTGATAAATATATCGGATCGTGAAAGAGTGAGTGAGTGAGGTTAGTTTCACGTCGTTTTGAGCAATATTCCAGCAATATTATAGAGGGGACACCAGAAATGGTGTTCACACATTGTTCCCATGTTGGGAATCGAACCCGGGTCTTAGGCGTGACGAGCGAACGCTGTGACCACTAGGCTACCCCACCGCCCCGGGTCGCTAAAGACGTTACTGAATCAGGCTTCAGAAAAACAAGGCGAAAACGTTAGTTAGCCTACATAGCCTGGGCTATCCTTGCATTAACTGATGGTTTAGCTGACAAAGGATAATAGAGAGGAAAGACTGGTGAAACAAAATGCAGCCTTTATGGCTCCGGAAACCTGTGATCGTGGGTCCGAACCCCAGAGTCACCCGGATAATGCTTCGCAGTTGGCCAACATCAGACCTGTACGCGTCGGTTCCGCGTATATGATAAAACGTACCCAGGCCTTCATCACTCCGGGCCTTCCTCCCACATTAAACAATACAGTTCACTCACTTACGCATACGAGGCGGTTGGGTAGCCTTGTGGTTAAAGCGTTCGTTCGTCACGTCCAAGAATCGGGTTCGATTCCAAAAAATGGGTACAATGTGAAGCCCATATCTGGTGTCCCCCGCCGTGATACTGCTGGAATATTGCTAAAAGCGGCGTAAAACTAAACTCACTCACTCTCTTACACATATCAATTTCACATTTTGATGAGCACAATAAATTACATCGAAGTTTTTTCTTTAGATATAAACAAACCTCATAACGTGAACAGCCAACTTAGTTTTGTAACAAACATGCATATAACGAACTGACGGATATAACGAACTGTTTCGGTCCCGAGCACTTGCTGTGTATTTTGGACGTATTTGAATATTTCGAAAACGAACTATGCTTATAACGAACTGACGGATATAACGAACTGTTTCGGTCCCGAGCACTTGCTGTGTATTTTGGACGTATTTGAATATTTCGAAAACGAACTATGGTTATAACGAACGAAAATTAGTGGTCTCATTTAGTTCGTTATAACCGTTGTTTACTGTTTACTGAATTTTAGTTTGTATGTTAATGTGTACTAGAAGGTGCCTTGTACGATTGACACGATTGTTCGTGTTATCAATACGTTGCGACACCATAACGCTCACTCAACATACAAAACGTGTTTTAAGTAGGGGTGGGTATTGCAGTGAATTTTTATATTGCGATATATTGCAATGCGAAAGCATATATTGCGATATGTATTGCCATATATTGCAAGATTGTTTTTAAACAAAAAAACTATTATAATCGAGTGAATGCTTGACAAGATCACTATACTTGATTAAGCTTTAATAAAAACTTTAAATCATGACAAAATAAATAACATTTGGCACAAATGAAACAAGGAAAAGAACAAATTAACATCAACACAGTGGTTACTAGTTTGAACTCCACTCTCAAAAATATCCGAAGATTTCCGAGTGTTACGAAGTTTAGCGAATGCATGTCGAAATACCGGTTTTCGATACGTATCGGTTTCATGTCTGAACCGATTATATTGCGCAGCCCTAGTTTTAAGTCTGAATGTATCGACGGAGCAACGGTTGTGTGATAAATCTACAAACCAGCCAGTCCATAAAGACACACAGCCAGGTTGTGGTGTCTGCTTCGCCGTTATACAGGGATCTGTATTTAACGGTACATTAAACAGATGTCGGATGTAGTGGTTTGTGGCAAATCACGTAACAACTGACAACTAACTGGATAATGTTCTGATCAAAGTCACAGTTCTGAATCATAGAATGTAACAAATAGAATTATGTCAAGTCAGAATAACGGTGCAAACTTATTGTTTTGCGTTCGAAAACCCGGTATCGTTCCACCAAGCAGCTTTTGTAAATTTCATTACGAAGATCTTAAGTCTGTATTAAATTAACCGTGAGGAGGTTTCAAGAATTTGGCTGAGATTGCACTGAGGCCCAAAACCAGGTTATTTACGTATATTTTATGAACGCTTCAATATAGTTACATTACATTACTGTAGTACATAGTAACATTAGGGGCCGTTCATAACTTATGGTTGACTAACAACTAGTCTCTGAAATGAACATATTTTACTGAAAAAAGTTCATAGTAAAACAAATTATAATATAATGAAAAGGAGCCCTGAGACTTTCTTCATTTTCAGACACTCAGGTACATCAACTTCTAATAACTGTCACAAACGTCTGAAGCTGAGGAAATCTAGACTTGCCACATTTTGTAGACTTGCGTGGGCTTTCTTGGATATATTTGCTTCAGGGTCTGTAAGACAGACTAAACTTATGGCTGAGGGTGCCCGGCGGGGTTTGATTATGGTCCAGTGGTTAGAGCGTTCGCTCGTCATGCCTATGACCCGGTTTCGATTCCCCACATGGGTACAATTTGTGAAGCCCATTTTCTAGTTTCCCTCGCCGTGATGTTGCTGGAATATTGCTAAAGGCTAAAGGCGTAAAACATAAGTAAGTTCATAAGTTCATCATCAAAGATGGAAAAAAGGTTTGAAGTATCAGAGCAAACGCTTGGATTCGGAGCCTTACGAAAAGTCTAAAGGCTCGTCGTGTAAATAAAACGTGTTCGAGATTTGGCGAACCCGGGCATTCAGACGTACACATCACTATGTATGTATGTACAGTTATCATGAGCACATGTTCATGATCAAAACTCATAGATGATGTGTATTGACAGTAAAATGGTTTGTGTTGTGTTAAAGGCGCACATTATATCATAATAATGCATCGTGTTTGCGAGCTTGTTTGTGGGTTTTCTAGGATGAGGGGCTGTGTGCGTGCGTGCGTGCGTGTGTTTTCTTTTTGGGCTTGTGTTTTGGTGTTGTGTTTTTGTTTTGTTTCCTATTTGGGGTAGCTTGAGCTGGTTTGCCTTTTAAAATGTTATGGTTCTCTGGAAGCAGAGACCATATAATAGATCTATTATATGGTCTCTGCTGGAAGGCGACCAAAACCCATCTGGGAAAGTTCTACCAACTACCACCTCATTTGAATCCAAATTAAGGCCGCTTTGCATATTAACTGCTTGAAGTTTAACCCCGCACTCAGCAATAGTCCAGCTATATGGCGGTGATCTGTATATAATTAAGTCAATACCAGGTCGAGTCTGGACTAGACAATCCGGTGATTGACATCAAGAGCATCGATATACGTACGCAATATTGCAATTGTGTCAACCAACTCAGCGATCCTGTGCACCCGATCGACAAGAATGGGATGCTGAGGACCAATTCTAACCCCAATCTTCTCTTGTCCGCGTTTAGCCGAGCGTGAGGTTCGCGATCGACATGCCTCACCTGCGACTGACGCAACTTTACTGCTTTTGATAGACTGGTACCCTTCCCTTCGCCTCCTGACACTGCACACACAAAAGTGCAGAGAGCAGCGCAAGCGCTTTACTGCCTGCAAACCACTCTACTCCTTTGAAATGAGAGTTAGCTCCCTTGAACTAACTCTGCTTCCGGACAACTAACGTTCTTCCATTCTTCAGCTTCTGACAGGTGCTTAACGGTAAGTTAAACATTTATTCAGACGCACATTTTACAGACACTGTTGGAGATAATGCATGATATTGATGCATGATAATGAATAATGTGTGATATTGTGATTGTCGCTCACTGAAATGTCTCTCATTTGATTGAGCAAGGGAGAAACATTGATCTGTCAATATAGTGTCACGCAGTAAACAACTGTGAGTGCTGCCACAGTCAGTAGTCAGTCAGTGGCGTGCAGTTGGCGTTGAAGAAAGACTGTGTCGATGATAGAATCTGTTCACCACCCTTTAGTGTCTTTAAGACAAGATATATCGCCAGAGATATTTTTTTACGACTGGCTAGGATCAATTTGAAAATTTACTTTAATTCAAGCAGAGTTACAGCATAACCTTCACCAAAGGAAAACAGACTCTTAGAATCAATTAAGTAGGAAAGTGTTAAAGACCTACCGGTACCTTACAATAGCATAAAAATCTCAAATGAGTAAACATATTTAATTGTAGATATTATTAATACTCAGGGTTTTACATAGCTCTTCGAAACTGGGAGCTCTGGGGACTGGGGCATATGTATTCTGAGAGTCCATTTCCCAAATTGGGAGTCAATCATGATGAAATCAATGATCATGGATGCTTCCCATTTGTTAAAGATTAGGTTATAATATGTGTTACTTTCAATGTCATTGGAATAATGATTGTAAACAGAATGTTTATATTTTAATATGGGATATCATTACAAACTCATAAAGTTCTTTCACAGAAAAATTTATATTGCGTCCACAAGGATGCACAGGATTTTAGTTTTGGGGCACTTCATCAAATTTCTGCGTCCAATACAGGAATCATGTGTCCTGTAAAACCCTGAATTCTGTTAATTCAGTGAAGTTGATAAAGTCGGTGTTTAAAAATAGCTGTCCGAGCAGATGTAGGTTGACTTTGAGGCAATCTTGACAAAAATAAAAGTTACCTAACCGATGAACAGGTTAATATTTGAACAATATTGATATATCATATATATTTCCCCTTTTACACATTGAAATCAATTTTCCTATCAAAGATGATATCAGTTTTTCATGACGTTCATGATTCTCTAAAGTAACTTTCAGCAAGTTAAGCTGAACTAATTTGCTAAAGCTCATCACACATACCTTTACTTCTGTTGTATTTTATTAAAGAATACTTATTGACAATACTGACATGTCTTGTATGTTTTCTGTAGGACTGGTAGGTCTTGAAAGTTATCAGTCCTGTGGTCTGGTATAAATATTGGGGGGTGTCTTAAACTGGTGTAATCAAGTAACAAAGTCTAATAGTAGGCTTGTAAGTAAGTAACACTGCCTCCGAGAAGTCATTTTTTAGCATGAGGGTATTTATGTCAATTTTGACCCTGACATATATATATGATTACCCTTTTGAATATTTACTTCGGTGTTTTATTTTGTTGAATCAGGACTGGTAAAATTTACTGCCAAATGTATCTTTCCTACATGCTATCTACCAGCTGTTTTGCTAGTTATAATGAATACATTGCACTCCATTTTCAGCTGACACTGACTTGCAATAATGTCGGTCAGTGATAATGATGAGCTCCCAGGATGGATGAACTACTCACCAGAAGATCAGCTTGAGCAGCCTGTGGATACTAATGTCACAGGTAGGGATATATATAATGTATCAGTAAATCATGATTCCAAATACTATATTTGTTATATTAATTGCAGAAATAAATTTCATCTATGCACACATATTTGTTGCTACAATCTGCATTTCTTAAGCTGGATGATAGTGGTCTGTTAATAATCAAGTCTACATTGCCAATTGCTTGACATCATGAACATTGATACTTGCAATATTCCATATTCAAGTGACATGCCACTTCAGCCGGGGACATTCTCTTCCCACGAACCTGATCCGCCATTCAGTTCTGTCTAGAAGAAACGTTTATGCAGCGCAGGGGAAGAAGTTTAGTTTTTGAAGCATCACGGAAATTACCGAGGCCTTGCGAATGATCACTTTTGAAACAACGTCGCTGATTGCACAACTAAATCTGATTGCCTCCAATCACGAGTCTTGAACCATGAAAGGGCCGTATTAGAACAGAGGTTACGTAGGAAGATATGACAGGAGTAACCTCTGTGGGAAGAGAATGGCTTCAGCCAAGCCAGTCATGGGTTGCTGATGACCAGTTAACAGGGCCTATACAATTTCTGAAAAAATGCTTGTTATATTAATCATTGTGTCAGTATATTTTTATGACACATTCAATAATTGATTTGTCAAAACTAAAACATCCAATCAGTCACACCACTAGCGAAGGAAGGTCGAGGTTCGATCCCCGACCGCGTCATACCAAAAAGACGTTAAAATATGGTACTTGTTGGTCCCTGCCTGGCGCTCGACATTAATGGGTACAACAAGGACTGGTCAGCTCAGGATAATGTGTCTGGGTGGGGTATTCATGCTTCACTGCGGCATGGTATCTCAGTGGGCTAGTACTATAAAACCAGCTTCAGTCTGGGCTAGTACAAGCAGTCACTCATACACATGCATGCACGTCGTCATATGAGCGAAATATTCTCAAGCACGACGTTAAACCCAATTTCACCTCACCTCACTTGTTATTGGTATAGCATAAACAAATGATATGAAAATAAAAGCTGTTGTAGTTTTTTAATGTAAAAAGGTTTTTACTTTGACAACACTTACCAACATTTGTTCTGTGATATTTGTTTATTTGATGGTGAAAATTGTGGACTCAGTGGTTAGAAATGGTTCTCATAATTGTAATATCAATTTGAAAACATAAATCAAGCTATAAGAAGTGAAACAGCCTTCTATGTCATAACAATTTCTGTTTTCATTGTCCAGGAACATAACCTCATTTATCCTAAAAATGCACAATACGTGAAATGAATTCAATTGATTATGTTGTAAAGATGTCGAAAGTGGTCGATATCTCGGCTTTTCTGATTTGCGCCGACAGACGTGTCAAGAAATGCTTCAAATGTAAACAAGATATAATGTGTCATGACCAAATGATATAGGGGTTATGATCCATGACCATTCAGCTTACAAGACAAGTTGATTTCATAAACATTTACTACTTTGAAATATCAAAATCTTACGAAGTTTGGGGCTCACTCTCTATCGAGGAAATGGTAGTTGATGACGACCAACTTCCAGTTGAGCATGGACAGGGCTTTCCTTGCTGTGTTCTATATCATAACAATTTCTTTTTTCATTGTCCAGGAACCATCCCCACATGGGTGACAGGGACTCTGTACCGGAATGGATCGGGGATGTTCAAGGTAGGGGAGACAACTGTAAAGCACCTGTTTGATGGCCTGGCAGTCCTCCACAAGTTCATCATCAAAGATGGCAAAGTTCAGTATCAGAACAAACTCTTGGACTCGGTGACCCTTGAAAAATGTCTGAAGGCAAATAGACTCGTCGTTGGTCAGTTCGCTACAGCTGCCTACCCAGATCCCTGCAAGAGCATCTTTGCAAGGTACTTTGATGTGGAAGGGTAGATGGTATAGCAGACTAAGGGCTAGGAGAACTGCAGGTTAATCTGTTTTCACTATTCATTAGGGTAAATGACCGCCTCCATGGTGTAGTGGTTAGGCGTCTGCCCGGAGAGCGGAAGGTCGCGTGTTCGATCCCTGACCGCATTATACCAAAACACGTTAAAAATATGGTACTTTTTGGTCCCTGCCTGGCGCTCAACATTAATGGGTACAACAAGGACTGGTCGGCTCGGAGTAAGTATAATGTGTCTGAGGGGTATTCATGCTTCACTGCGGCATGGTATCTCAGTGGGCTAGCACTATAAAACCAGCTTCTGTCTGGGCTAGTACAAGCAGCAGCACATATACATACACATGCATGCACGTCGTCATATGAGCGAAATATTCTCAAGCACGACGTTAAACCCAATTCACCTCACCTCACCTCATTAGGGTAAATGTTCAGTTTTAGCTGCATCCCTGACCACATGTTTAGACTACCCCAGATCCCACTGTGTGCCAGGTCTTCTATCAGCTCCTTGCCTGCTCTTTGTGCTGTCATCTTAGGATCTTAGGGAGACAAGGACCAATAGTAATAGTTTAAAGTTTACTTTCTCGATGCTCTGAGAAAACAGTGTGATATAGTCCAGCCTTGCCTTCATCCACTACTGATAATCTACAAGTCATGTGATTTTTTACAAATTACATGCATGTCATGTTTATATTTTAAGGTTTTTCTCCTATTTCAACCCGGAAATGACGGACAACACTGCCGTGAACATCGTCCCCCACGGCGACATGCTTCTGGCACTGACAGAAACACCAACCTGCAATATTGTAGATCCAGAGACACTCACAAAGAAGGGATCGGTATGTACATGTATATGCAAATATTTTGACTCGTAATGTCAGCTGCCAGTCTGAAAAAGTATGAAACTTTGTTCAATTTTTTATGCCGGAGCCAAACAAATGAATAATTTCCCCAGCTCATCCAGCAAACACTATTTTCTAGAGAAAATTATTTATTTAAAAACAATTCCAGATTCCCGTTATTTTTTGTCTCATTTGATATGTTATGTAAGAATGTCTGTAAGTGGATTTCTCCTTTCCAGATTCCTTTAGACAAACTGGTTGCAGTTCACATCGCAACGGCTCACCCCCACTCTGACCCTGACGGCACTATGTACAACCTGGGAACTTCATTTAACCACAAGCAAGCTTACAACATCGTCAAAATACCACCACAAGAAAAAGGTAGAGACCCTGATTGACCCAGGGTTCCCTGGTGATGCTAAGTTATCAGTTTGTTGTTGTAGTCTGGTATAGTCACCAGTTTGACCAGGGTCTCATTCACAAGGCAGTTACCATGACTATCATAATTTGCATGCTTTAACAATGAATAATTTCCTTTTACTTTTGTGTAAATATCAGATGTGTTAAGATGCAAGAAACAATTATTTCATAATGCTCTTTACTATGCGCACTGTTTTTTGTTAAATTACACTAAACTTCAGTTATAATAAACTAAAAAACCACAAAGTTTAGTTTGTTATAACTATAGTTTGTTTTGACCGTATTCCGATTAAAAAAGGACAGAAGTCTAATAAAACAATTTGTTATGTCTCCCGGTTTGTTATAAGCAAGTTCAATTTAAACAGAGTTAACTGTTACTCAGATGAGGATGGTACGTACACACATACCTCTCTACCACAGGAACAGGATCCCAAATAATTAGTGCTTGTTTAACAAGTGATCAGCTATGATTCTTTACATTTATGTACGTGTGCTTTCATTGTAATCATTTGCAAAGAAAACTAATGTCATCATCAACTGTTAAACTTCTATGATGAGAGGCCAGTATTTGTACAGCCTGTCAACATGTGCATCAGCAGATATGAGTCACCTCGTCTCTCCTTTCCAGGGGGAGACAACCCCTTCAGCCGGGCATCCTTGGTGTCAACCTTTCCGTCTCGCTGGATGACCAACATCGCCTACAACCACAGCTTTGGAATGTCTGAGAACTACTTTGTAGTTTTGGAACAGACTCTGGTTACTAACATCTTAAAGCTGCCCCTCATGAAGTTTACTGGAACTGGATTTGAGAGTTGTATGTACAACTACCCGGAGGAAAAGGTTAGACGACTGCCCCCTGAATCATTGTACATACTGACCAGCTGAGTTAAGAAATACAGTTCGCTCTACCACCATGTGTAGTGTAATAAAGCACACTTTCGCCCTGAACTATTATAGTTAAAGCAAGAGGACGTGGTAGAGCAAACTGTGTTTCTTTTCTAAGATGCCAAATTTAATACCTTCTAAGGATAATTTCGATGACTCTAAGGCAGAAAACAAACGATGGTGTCTGTGACCTATATTAAGAATCCTCACACAGGACTAACTGATGCGCTGTTCTATTGACCTCTCTCTCTCTCTCTCTCTCTCTCTCTCTCTCTCTCTCTCTCTCTCTCTCTCTCTCTCTCTCTCTCTCTCTCTCTCTCTCTCCCCCCCCCTTTGATGATGGTTTACGTTCGGGTTAAATATCATCTCTAAATAATTTTAATTACATCTGTGATTAACGTAGACCATATGGGGCAATATGAACGTCGTACTTCTACTACCAATGTAAGATGAATAGTCACGTGACATTCCATGATAGCATTGTGGTAATGTAAACATTGCGAACATTATTTTATCCGTCGGAAAACATAAACGTAATGTTTCCACCAATGATGTTAGCTGAGTGAAGGAACTGCAAGCCAAGAAAGGGATGCAACAGAGTAGTTTACTGTAGGAGGCTGTATGAGGCGATGACAGTTGACATGCATCGTGACAGGTCGGTTACATTGTGATGTAATGCAAAAGTGTCAGGGAATTTTTGGGTTTAAGTCAAGGAAATTGAGAGTTATGGTCAGAGAAAATTAAGGTTCAGAATGTAAGCTAATAAGGTATGGTAGTATGATGGCTATGCTGGTTTTCGACCCATTCAGTGAAAGTACAGTATAGGGACAGACTAGAATGGCGAGAATGGGCACGCCAATACATTGTGATGTAATGCAAAAACTGCACATTATCAGGGCTCCCACAGGTCAGGGAAAAGTCATAGAGTTTGGCTTTTCTCAGAAAGTCAGGAAAAGTCAGGGAATTTTGTTAGGTTTTCAAAAGTCAGGGAATAGTCAGGGAATTTTGGGTTTAAGTCAAGGAACTTTAGAGTTATGGTCAGAAAAATTAAGGTTCAGAATGTCGCTAATAAGGTATGGTAGTATGATGGCTATGCTGGTTTTCTTGTAAATTGTGAATGCCCATTTTGGTCAAACTTACCCATTTAAGTTTCATTGAAAGCACAGTATAGGTTTATATTCTGACATTTGCTGACATTTGCTGTTCATTTCATGTTTCTAATACTCACAAAGCAAGACAGCTAAAGGGATTTGCACCTCTTGCCTCCAGAGCAACTATTAAGATTACTTTTTCTCTCTCTTACTGCTGTATGTGGTGGTGGACATATATCTGCTAAATAGCATCTCATTTAGCTTTAAAATCAATGATTCCTATTTTGTCTTATCCTGACTCATGATCTTTTGCTTATCTCCCTTTCCTTTTCTAATGGTAGTGGAACACTTGAATCCCTTGAAGTTTCGAAGCGGACGTAAAAATACACTCACCTACAAGTTACCTCCCTTTTGCCCTTTTCCCCGCACAAACAGTCATGTGACCAGCCTTATAAAAAGTATAAAAATATCAATTTTACTTGAAAAATTACATATACTGAGTCAAAAAAGAAACTTCACAAAATGTAATTTGAAAAATAATGAATAATTTTTCTCTGATGATACATCTATGTATCTGAAATGGGATCCCTATCTTTCGACTCAAGAAAAACGTTAGCAAAACCCACTCAAACCCATCCATTTATCATGCAAATGACGTTAGTGCCAAATCAGGTTTTGCACGTGCAGTCGATCACGTGATCTTCGCATCGAAGTTTTCTTCATATGCACGTGTTTGCATTGGCCTCAAGAATTGAAAAAACACTTTTAAACCACAGTTCTAACGGTTCTTGAAATGCCACGATTGTCAAATGTGCAACGTGAACGTGCCATTGGCATGTTGCAAGCGGGAAGATCAGTTATTGACGTCGCGAAGAGCAATGGGATGCAGCCGTCGTGACTGTGTATGACTTGCAAGGTCGTCTACAACAAACTGGCACCACTTCTGATCACCCAAGGTCTGGTCGTCCACGTGTGACGTCCACGAGCAGAAGACCGATCAAATCGCCTTACGTCACCTACATGACAGATTTCTGCGGCTACACGAACCAGGGCTGAGATGTTTAGAGGTCGACTGTCCTCACAGACCATTGGAAATCGGCTTTTGCGGGCTGCCAATCTCCATTCTTGACGCCCATATCGTGGGCCAATATTGACGCCGTTTCATCAACGTCAACGCGTCTGCTGTGGGCCCAACGTCACCTCCAATGGACCCAGAGACTGGAATCGAAGTCGTCTTTAGCGATGAATCCAGGTTTACCCTCAGATTCGCGGACGGCAGGCATAGAGTCTGGAGACGACGTCGTGAACGGTATGCCCAATGTTGTGTACAGGAAGTCGACAGCTTCTGGAGCGGAAGTTGCATGGTGTGGGGTGCTTTCTGTGGGAACAACCGTTCCCGACTTCTGGTCATCCGTGGAAACGTCACAGCTGCTGCTTACCGCGACCAGGTGCTCACCCCTGAACTCGTTCCTTTCATGGCGCTCATGGCCCAGGTCTACAGTTCCAGCATGATAATGCTCGGCGCATACCGCGATGTTGACACCAAATTTCCCTCAAAACGCTGGAATCAACGTCATGGACTGGCCATCGAGGTCCCCTGACCTTAATCCAATAGAGCACGTTTGGGATGCACTTGGGAGAAGGCTTTGTGGTCTTAGGAACCAACCTCAGAATATGCAGGAACTTGGCGCTGCCTTGCAAGAGCAATGGCGCAGAATCCCCAACCACGTGTTCACATGCATCAGGCAGTCGATGAGGAGACGGTGTTTGGCAGTGGTGAATGCGCGGGGCGCCCATACACGATATTGAACTGAGAAATTTCGCATTTTTATTCTTGTGACTTGACATTCTGTATACCCATGTTTTGGAACGGCAGTGTAGCCTAATGGAACTCAGCAATGAAATAATAACTATTTAACCATCTTACCATCTCTTGTTCTTTTATAGTGCCCTGAAGTAAGAATGTGAAGTTTCTTTTTTGACTCAGTATATTTGTAATCTTTTCAATAAAAATCACCAACGTTCATTAAAATCAGTATGTACGATTTTTGGTTGCAAAATTGCTCCCATTTTGTTATATGGTGCTGAAATTTGGGTGTAAAATATTGCAATACAATTGAAAAAGTTCATGCTGCATTTTTTAAACGGTTTTTGAGGGTTGTGAAATGTGTACCTAATAAAGCTATTTTTGGTCAAGTTAGGCGGTATAATATATTTACCACTACACAGTTGCGTGTTGTAATATATTGGATTAAGTTAATTAGAATGAGAAATTATTGTTATCCTCACCAATGTTACAGAATGTTAAAAGTAATGGATGAAAGAGGACAATGTAGGTGGGTGTCTGATTCAATAATCTTATCATTTACGTGTAGTTTTCCTATGTGTGGATAAGCTAAGATGTTGGCAATGTTTCGTTATTTTAAAATATTTTCTCGCAATTATCTGAAAGATATATCTTTTCAAAATTGGCACGCAGTGTAACTGTGTTGTGTGACATTGTGGCAGGAGAGTCAAGGAAAAATCTCTTCATTACAAATATTAATATTTTGGTTGATGTCATAAATTAACAAAACATGTATGTATTTATGATATGTGTGAAGGAAATATCTGAAAAGCATGGTTAGGACTTACTGAAGGTGAGGGAGGATTCCAGTTTTTACACTTAAATGGTCAGGGAAAAATCTGTACTTGTCAGGGAAAAGTCAGGAAACCTGATTATCGTCTGATAAAGTACTGTCGGCGCCTATGATCTTTCACTGAAGCATCTTAGAATTGGAGTTAAAACTTATTTTCATGTAGAAAGACCTCTCATCTTTTGGATTTTTTTATCAGAAATTTTCTGTTTTCTAAATTTAAACCATCATCTAATGTTTGTTCCTTTGTTTCTTATCTTATATTCCAGCCATATGATGGTCGTCTGTAAACATTCTGGAATAGACAAGCTAGTGATCAACAGCATAAGCAGTTCTAACCCAACTATTCACAGGTCATGACTTATTGACTTCATTGAAACATTGTCACAAACTGGTCAACTTTTCCCAACTCTGTGACCTTGGAATTTTCAGATTGCCTCATTCACTAGAGTCTCATTTGACTGAAACAGTTTTTTTTCATTGGCATTTAATAAAAGTTTGTACTAGATTTTAAATTTATGTATCCATTTTTTACCACAGGTTCTTATCCATCTTGCCCGGCGCTCAGACGGAAAGACGCTAACAACTCGGTACACTGCCGACGCCTTCTTCTGTTTCCACTTCATCAACTGTTACGAGGAAGATGGTCACATCGTCATCGATTTCTGTGCTTTTGATGATGGGGGTGTGATACGTGATGCTTACATTAAAGATGTAAAGAAAGGTGTCTTCTCAAAAAAATATGCCAAAGTGAGACGCTATGTGCTTCCTATAGACGTCGAGAAGGTAATTCAGCTTGTTTTGCCATTCAGTAAATAGTGGTTTATGTTTTACATGTAAATTTGGACATTATTGTGGAGATAAAATATCTTGATACCAACTTGATATGAAATTATTAATTTGTGTGACTGGTCCTGTGGTCCCTGACTAGTACAGATTCATTGGGACCACTAAATGATAAGTTTGCACTGGTCCTGGTGGTCAGTGAATTTTGTATTCAAGTTAGCCTGCGACCTCGGGATGCTATTTCGGGATGCTATTTCTTACTGAAATTGCCTGTCATTAATGACACACACAAGTACGCTGTCAGATACGTCAGCTGTAGCAAGCCAGATAGAGACGGTATGTGTTACCGCTTGATGTCGAGATGACAGATACGTCAGCTGTATCATGCCAGATAGAGAGGGTATGTGTTACCGCTTGATGTCGAGATGACAGATACGTCAGCTGTATCATGCCAGATAGAGAGGGTATGTGTTACCTCTTGATGTCGAGATGACAGATGTGTCAGCTGTATCATGCCAGATAGAGATGGTATGTGTTACCTCTTGATGTCGAGATTACTATTCAGCATGATCAGCCATTCAGGTAGTTTTGCAAAGTTTGATATGAAAGATCTTCATGTTGAAATGACTTAAAATATCCACTGTTACCCACTCAGATAGTGTTAGAGGTGTATCATACACATATTCAGTAAACATATTCAAGGTCTGATATAAATTATGTTCATACTGATTTGACATGATAACATAACCATCTGTCAGTTAGTGTTAGACCGGTATCATACACATATACAGCAATAAGGATTCTAATTCTGAGTGAAGTTGGATGGGTTGCTAAAGACCATCTCTGACCCGGATCTTCCCGGGTTTGATGCTGTTAGAGGTGTATCATATACATATGCAGCAAAAGTCGTTTTCATTCTGAGTGAAGTTGGATTTCTTAAACCACACAGGCAGAGAGCGGCAAGAACCTGGTGACTCTGGCAGACACCTCGGCTACAGCGGTCAAACAGGCGGACGGCTCCATCTTGTGTACCCCTGACTACATCACAGGAGGTGGGTTGTACATTGGTGGTTTTAGCTATCATTGGTCGTAGTATTTGTTGGATGTAGAATTGTCTAAGAGTTTCATAATTTTAAAGTCTTTGAGATTGGTTGTTCCGGTTTAGACTGTCCCGCTGGATGATGTGGTGGGGTTGTCTTGGAGGGGGTCTGATAGGGCTGATCTGGAGTCAACTTTTAATACAGAAGTTCAATGTTCTTTGATTCGGGTTCTGAGGGGAATTGATTTTTCACCGACATAGGAAAGTCCACAATCACATGGGATGTGGTAGACTGTTCCTAGTGGTTGTCGTTTCTGGTTAGTTGGTGGTTTGCCAGTTGCTTTGATCTTGTAAGGATGCTGTTAGTTTTCTCTTAAACACTACATCTATGTTAACTTGTTTTTTCAAGAGTCTCTAGACTTTGTGGCTGACAATTCTGTAGAAGGGGAGGCTGATGATAAAGGGTGCAGATTGTTGACTTTATAATCCCAAACATCTCCTCACGCTTGTATATGTATATATGCTACTCTATCCTCATGTTGTTCATCACTTGCTTGATAACAGTGTTAGAACCTACACCGAAACATCGCTCTCACTGTAATAAAAAAATTGTTCATCCATATATCGTCATCCTTCCTTATTGATCCAACTTCTAAATGCCTCTCAAAAATGTCAAACAGTATCAAAATATATGCTTTCAACATTGTTAGCGAGGTTGCTATTGGTATAGGCCTCTCCGTTTTGAAGTTGTATTGTTCTAGCCATGTGTCTTCCCAAACCAGAAGTGCATCTGGTTGTGTTTTTATGGTACAAATAGTATTCTGAAAAAAGATTAAGACCACTCAGTATCAAGAGATGTGATAACTTCTCTGTTATTAAGGTATCTAGGAGATGCGCTTTTGCGGGGATTACTTCTCTGTTATTAAGGTATCTCCTCGAGCAGAACTCTAAAACCGCTCAATTTTATCCCAAACTTGGCAACGCTGGTGGTGTACTTGGTGCCTTTTGGTAGGTATTAAAATAATGGACCTCCAAGGCAACAAGTTCATCAGTGCACATTAGCGGTAGTTCTCTTTTCTGGAGCAGAACTCTAAAACCCTTCAATATTTCTTCACCAAACTTGGCACATAGATTGGTCTGGTGGTGTACTGGTGCCTTTTGGTAGTTTTGGATTTCAGAATAAAATATTTTTGGCATTTCCATGGCAACAAGTTTGACTTAGACTGAAATAGGTGATAGTGCTCCTTTCTGAAGCAGAACTTTAAAAACCTTTCAATACTCTCCTTCCACTTTTCTATATACTCACCTAAATATTTGACATAATCATAACTCGTAGACATATAATGAAGAGTATTTTGCCATTGCTGGGGATATTGATGACTTTGTCTTCTTGTTGTGTTTGAAAGATTCCCCACATGGGTGCAGTGTGTCAAGTCCATTTCGGGTGTCCTCCGCTGTGATATTGCTAGAATATTGCTAAGAGCGGCGTAAACGTAAAACTAAACCCAGTCACTCACTGTGTCAGAAAGGTACTGGGAGCTTCTGGCAAACTCATTTCTTTTACAAAGTTGTGTTGCTATGGTCATATGTTTTCCAAACTTGAAACGATATTTTTATACAGGACATAGTAGGGATATCGATATAGATCCTAGAGATGGATAATCGATGCCTAAATTTTGATCGATGATCGATAAATATCGGGGAAGTAACTTAGAGCAGAAAAGCCAAATAAATCTCAAAACAATGAATATATTTTACATGACTGGTGAGTGGCGACATGTTTATGGATGGATTACTATGGTCTGTTTGACTTCATTTGAGACCGATGACTGGTAATCAACAAGCGCGTGCAGTGAAATTTCAATTTCACACGTACAACTCGCACACCTGGCTGTTCTACCAGCAAGTGGTCCTCCCTCGTAAGAAACAGCGAAAAGTGACAACAAAATAATTATCGTTTGTTAAACAACTATTTTATTCGGGTGTCCAAAATTATGATACAAATCATCAGAGTTGGTCTGTCGAATTCACGTGACTGTGCAAAGTTTGATTTTGTTGCATGTATTAGATTTTGTGTTAGTGAGCAATTCTTCGGTCTCAAATGAAGTCAAACGGACTGTAATAAAACAGCATGCTGGACATAATTCAGAAGCAGCCGATATATAAAACCCATGTATGATTGATTTGCATACATGGATGTTATCAAACTATCCACTGGATGAAGGTTGAATGATTCAGACGTCCACCATGACATCGGGTTTTGCTGTACAAAACACACTGTCCTTCTTCATACTTTTCATTGTGATATTTTCCAGATGCATCCAATGGCATAAGAATGGAACTACCCAGAATCAACTATTCCTACAACACAAAGAAGTACAGATACTGCTATGGAACAGAATTTCTGACAGACAAACCAAGGGTGAATTGTATTGGAAATCATAGAATAGTGTAGAACAGTCTTTTCTTACACACCCATGGGTGAGAAACCCATGTGAGAAAACTGGTATCACACATATGTGTGAGATCGATTTCTAATCCTGTGATTGGCTACTCCATGGTGATAACCTAGGGTCAGGTTATGACGGACTACTTTCCTGATTACAATTCATTGATAAGTTCCTCGTGCTTCAATCGAACAGGAACCTGTTACTCGTGCCAAAAAAACCCCTTTACACCTACCTGTTATTTTCTAGATTGCAACATAAACAGGTATTTACAATGAAACAGAATTTGAAGAAATATAACACGAATCTATTATTTTCTAATTCCTTTTATTAAAACTTTTGATTTCTAGTCATGAATTCAAAATCGCTCTAACAATCAGTGAAACCTGTGTATTAAAACAATTATGTGAAAATCGACGTTAAGATAAAGACCAGGATCCCTTCAAATATTCAAAATGTGAAACGTTGGTACTTTTACTGGAGAGATGTGACAAGTCATATATCGTATAATTAAAATACCCGACACGATAACGTCAGTGATCGATTTGCCTCATCGTTTCTTTGATGAATTGATGAAGATAACATTTTTCTTTTTTATTGATAAACATGATTAAGACGCACTTGTGTATTATTGCGTAGCTACGATGAGAAAATATGAAATTTGTATCTATTCGACCATGAAATGGTGCGATTTTATGGTGTGTAAGAAACAGATTACTGTACTCGTGTCTGTCAGATATCATTTATCTTACAACTCGTTGTTTCAAAACGTATTTAACTCGCTTTTGCTCGTTAAATAAGTTTTTAAACAACTCGTTGTAAGATAAATGATATCTGACAGACACTCGTTTAGTAATCTCTATAGAAATGAAGCATTGACAAGTAGTTCAGAATTATAACCCTCAGATGCTACTAGTCAACAAGGACTGAATCTTTGAAGGTCATCTAGAAGTTGAATGCATAAGAATAGCAAGATTTATGGGTGTCAGCTTGTTTATTGTGAACACCATGATGTTTCCGAGTGTATGGTTGCTCCTTCATCAGGTGCAGGCATACACTCCGAAACCTTGTGTTATTCACATTAAAGAAGTTGACATCCATAAATCTTGCTTTTCTCAACAAGGACTGGTATTGTTACCTGTCGTGGACATATATTAAAAGTCTCAAGCAAGAGACAAGAGTGATGGAATTTGAAATGCTGGTTGAATGATAGTAGAACTAGAAGCAATTAAAAGAAAGTCAGTTGCTGAGTTTGGGAATTTGGATCACCCTCGATTATGTATTGACATTTTAGAATTCCCTAGTCATTTGTTTAACAGTGTTATGAAATTGAGGCTTAGATTAAGTATATATTTATCTATCCTCATTCTGTTCATCACGTGTGTGATAACAGTGTTAGAACCTACAAGAAGTTGTTCATCCATATATTGTTATCCTTCCTTTCTGCTCCAACTTCTAAATGCATTTCAAAGAAGTTAGATTAAGTAGTGCATTCGCAAATCCCACTGTTCTACTGTTTCAAAAACTGCTGCATATGCTACTGTGATACAATTTACAGCACATGTTGAAATGTTTGTTTAATTTTAGTTAAATATATTTTATGTCATCCTTGCCCATGTTTCATTGGCATAAGCGGCCATGGGGTAGCCTAATGGTTAAAGCGTTGGCTCGTCGCGCTGAAGGCCTGGGTTCAATTCCCCACAAGGGCTCAACGTATGAGACCTATTTCTGGTGTTCCCCACTGTGATCCGCCGCGAGAGCGGAAGGTCGTGGGTTTGATCCCCGACCGCGTCATACCAAAAGACATTAAAATATGGAACTTGTTGGTCCTTGCCTGGCACTCGGCATTAATGGGTACAACAAGGACTGGTCGGCTCGGAGTCAGTATAATGTGTCTGAGTGAGGTATTCATGCTTCACTGCGGCATGGTATCTCAGTGGGCTAGCACTATAAAACCAGCTTAAGTCTGGGCTAGTACAAGCAGCCACACATACACATACACACGCATGCACGTCGTCATACGAGCAAAATATTCTCAAGCACGACGTTAAACCCAATTTCACCCCACCTCACCTCACCTCACCTCACTGTGATATTGCTGGACTATTGCTAAAAGGGCATAAAATCATACTTACTCACTCAGTCGTTTGCACAATCAGTTTGTTTTGTTATTTTTCAAGTTCTGTCTTGTTTTGCCCATGGGGATTCCAGGTTACAATAAGTTGCCAGTAACCATTGTGTCATGAGAGACAACTGATCTGATGGTCGGGCAGCCTGACTTAGTGTTATTATCAGAATAATACTCTGGCAGTCTGCATTGTCACTTGGGTTGTTGTTTAACACCCACACACAGCAATATTCCAGCTTTATGGCGGCAGTCTGTAAATAATCGAGTCTGGACCAGACAAGCCAGTGATCAACAGCATGAGCATAGATCTAAGCAATTGGATAAAATGATCTATGCCATTGGGATACGATGACGTGTCAACCAAGTCAGCGAGTCTGACCGCCCAACCCCGTTAGTTGACTTTTACGACAAGCATGGTTGCTGAAGATCAATTCTAACCCGGATCTTTATTATAACAACGAACACAACAATGATGCTCTGTGGTTTCAGCTGACCAAGGTGGACATGAAGACGAAAACCTGTGTCTACTGGATTGGAGAGGAAGGGGACCAGCCTGGTGAACCAGTGTTCATAGAGAGGCCGGGGGCAACAGAGGAGGATGATGGTATGTGTCTATCACATGGGGTGCATGGCTTAGACAGTGTATTCCTGTCTGTCTGGTGCACCCAATGGGGTGGGGTTAGGTTTGTGATTTGTCTGGTGGATCCAGTGGGAGGAGGGGGTGGGGTTTTGTGGATTGGTGGTCTGTCACCAGTGGATCCAGTGTGAAGGGTGAGGTTTCTGATTAACTGGTGGAGCCAATGGGCAGAGGGCTGAGGTTTCTAATTGGTCTGTGACTGGTGGAGCCAATGAAGATCTATTGGTCTGTGACTGGTGAAGCCAAGGGAGAGGGCTGAGGTTTCTAATTGTTCTGTGACTGGTGGAGCCAGTGAAGATCTAGATTTCTTGTTTCTGATTGGTCTGTGACTGATGGAGCCAATTGAGTGGGCTGTGGTTTCTCATTGGTCTGTGACTGGTGGAGCCAATGGAGAGGGCTGAGGTTTCTGATTGGTCTGTGACTGGTGGAGCCAATGGAGAGGGCTGAGGTTTCTGATTGGTCTGTGACTGGTGGAGCCAATGGAGAGGGCTGAGGTTTCTGATTGGTCTGTCACTGGTGGAGCCAATGGATAGGGCTGAGGTTTCTGATTGGTCTGTGACTGGTGGAGCCAATGGAGAGGGCTGAGGTTTCTGATTGGTCTGTCACTGGTGGAGCCAATGGGGAGGGCTGAGGTTTCTGATTGGTCCGTCACTGGTGGAGCCAATGGGGAGGGCTGAGGTTTCTGATTGGTCTGTGACTGGTGGGGCCAATGGAGAGGGCTTAGGTTTCTAATTGGTCTGTGACTGGTGGAGCCAATGGAGAGGGCTGAGGTTTCTAATTGGTCTGTGACTGGTGGAGCCAATGGAAAGGGCTGAGGTTCATGATTGGTCCGTCACTGGTGGAGCCAATGGGGAGGGCTGAAGTTTCTGATTCGTTTTGCAGCTTGAAATATTGTTTGCACATTAAAAAGGCAATCAAAACAAAATTTAAGAAAAGTACATAATACAACTTCCAGATTTGATGTTTTCTAACATTTATGATCACAATAACTATTTGGAATACATAAACCAAAGTATTGCATTATTTCAGGCGTAATTCTTTCCCCTGTGTTCACTTTGGAAACCGGACGCAATGCCTTCCTCCTGGTGCTTGATGGGAAGACATTCAAGGAGCTGGCCAGAGCAGAGACGCCCCCTGGTGTCAAGATGCCCTTGACATTCCACGGGTCGTTCATACCCTGAGGGGAATTGGAACCAAACATACCACTATGGCATGGGCAACCACAGTTGGCATTGATTATAAAAAAAATCCACAGTAATATGTTTTAATTTGGTCCTTTTTGTCCAAATGAGAGATATTTTGAAAGCATTACTTTGTTTGTATTTGTTAATGTTATGACACATTTTAGGTTTTGTTATTTTTGTGTTTTTGTTGCGTGCTCTTACCTCTTTTCATACTTATTGCAGTATGACAAGGTGATGTTATCTTGACACAGAATCTCAGTATGCTCATCCATAGATTGTGTATTCTTTGTTACAGATCTTATTAATACATTTATTGCCTCTTTGATACTATGGTACCACCGTCATCAGTCTAAGTAAACTTAGGCTCAGTATCATTCATTACACTGCTATACTGAGTCTAACTAAACCTTGTGGAAGGTCGCATCAGCTGACCTTTTCAATGGACCAATCAGAACACAGCTTATCAAATCGCGGAAGTTGAATTTGACGTTACCTTTTGAACTTTTACAAAAAGTTTTGTACCTGAACGATTCCGAATGCTATTTTCTGTATGATCGCTTCCAAGTGATGCACATGGAGCACGCCACAAGAGTGAGTAAACAGTCCCTGAAAATAGCGTTTTGTCAGTATTCAAGGATGTCAGCTTGCGGGAATATTAGCTAATGATAACCATGTCAACAGAAACCCCAAAGCGTATATTCTGCAGGTCATCTTTCTGTGTTCTATGCGGGTTTTCATTTGTTATGAGATCAGTGTTGGCGACCGGGGAAGAGAAAATCCATTTTGTAAGTCCCGCCAAACCGAAATAGTAGCCGTTGTCTGATTGGTTAAATCTGTTCGTCCGTCTCGCATTTGATTGGACGGTCATAGGTCGCTCAAAGGTTACCTGACACGACCTTCCACAAGGTTTTGTTAGACTCAGTATAGCAGTGTAACGAATAAGTTTACTTAGACTGCCACCGTCATATATCTCAAATATTGTCGAGTTTGGCATTCAACAACATACAAACCTTTGTTTAGTCACTGGAGAGGGGAATCTACATGATATTACTAAAATTCACAGTGTAGTGACAGAATATATCTAGCCTTGAATATATCTATCTCACAAATACACATGTATTCACTTTGGATACAACACAGATAAAACCTATAACAAGACATATCACATTATGGATAACAACTTCTTGTTTATTGCACAAGGCCTTATTGTGACTTGATAACAATGCAAAATGTGACATAAAATGGGTTAGGACTGCAAAATTTGATGCAGTCCTAAGACCATTTCCACCAGAGCATGCACACATGCACACACGCACGCATGCGCACACACACACACACACATTTATGATACATGATTGGTCCCCAAATGACATTAAAATCACAAAATTGTCTCAACATATTAGTAGGCAGTTGTGATTCACATGAAAGCGTATATATGGATTCTAAAAGAATGTTTGACACCCAGGCAAATCTTGGCATATAGGACTTAAGCATTTGTAGCAGAAATACTTCAAAGTAAGTTTAAAACAGTTGAATAAGATATAGTTTGATTGATAAATATTTCATCGAGATAAAATCAGTATATTTGTTTGTATGAAAAGAGTAACAAAGTTGTTGACACTGATAAAAGATCTTTATCACAAAGAGATAGGCTTCATATTCGCAGAATTTTGACAGTAACTAAATTAGCAATACAATGGAAGGCACAGGGTGCACCTGTGGTCCAGTGCCTTTGTACTATTGTATGCAATACAATCTGTGATGTCACTGTGTTTAAATGTTGTTGTGGCAAGTATTGATGCACTCAGAATCCACTTGTATTTTACACATACTGATTCATGTAATACTTTGTCTAATCTTGTATCGTCACGCCGAAGACCCGGGTTCGAATCCCCACATGGGTACAATGAGTGAAGCCCATTTCTGGTGTCCCCCGCCGTGATATTGCTGGAATATTGCTAAAAGAGGCGTAAAACCAAACTCAGTCAGTCAGTCAGGCTATTCTTGTAACCATGTTGAATATGATTGACCTCTGCTGTAAACTACAAACCACGAAGGTCAAGATCATTTTGTTGTGGCTCTTTAAGAGAGGTGTTATATCTGTTTATGAGATCTGATTTTAATGTGATTGCATTATTATAAGCATACTTTATAGTTTTGTTTGAAATTTTAATATATCACACTATTCATGACTTGTGAGAGTTTTGCACCATTTTTGGCAGCATTATACCAATATAACTGTACTTGCATACTTTTGAACAGCTTACACATCTTGGTTACAAACTCTATGAGATTCATATACCACAGATGTAGGAAAAGTATTATTAATTTACAATATATGTAGTATTTCAGTGTTTGCAAGAAATGTTTATAGGAAAATAACTTGTTTAGGCATACTGTTTGGAAATGTATCATTTCCTAAATTGGTGTAAATGTTCATTGATCAGGAGTTGAAAGCGTTCCTCGTCTTGCTTTGTGTGTGTTCTCCAGTACTTTACCATTTTTACTTTATTTTAATTAACATAAATATTTATAATATATAAAGTTTATACATTTTGCCTATGTAATCTCATTACAAAAAAATGTGCAATTATTCTTGTGCTTGAAAATTTGTTTGATTGCTTCTGTTTTTAACAGTGAACTGTTGTCTTATATTTACCTAAATTATTGACATATTCTTTATCTTTGACTTGTTTCATAAAATTACCAAACTGGCAGTTTACTTGTGTTACTCTGTACTCACAAGACTGCCTCCATGGTGTAATGGTTAGAGCGCCTGTCCAGAGAGCGGAAGGTTGATATAATTAAATCTGTTATCTACTGCAAGAAGTTTAATTTTTAACAAGAACATGTTTCTTCTGGCACGTCATCATGATGTTCATGACATCATGGTTTTGTTTCCATACAGTTATTTCTGTACCACATCCATCTTCATCAAGCTGTATTGACGGGGTTAATCATATATTGTCTTTTATACATTCCTGGGGTGGTGGGGAAGCCTAGTGGTATATCACGCTGAAGACCTGGGTTCGATTCCCCACATGGATACAATGTGTGAAGCCCATTTCTGGGTGTCACCTCCATGATATTGATGGAATGGTGCTAAAAGTGGCATAAAACTAAACTCACTCACTCATTGTACATACCCATAATTGTCTTTGGTATTGTCGATGTGTAATTAGATAACGTTCTTTGGATTCACTAACCATCTCAGCTTTCATTTCCTTTTCCTTTTGTGTGTTGTTTGGGGTGGTGGGGTAGCCTAGTGGTTAAAGCGTTGGTTTCGCGCCGAGGATCCGGGTTCGATTCCCCACATGGGCACAATGTGTTAAGCCCATTTCTGGTGTCCCCCCCCGTGATATTGCTGGAATATTGCTAAAAGCTGGCGTAAAACTAAACTCAGTCAGTCAGTCAGTCAGTCAGTGTGTTGTTGGTCAATAAAATTTTTATTAGTTTTTAATCATTCACTAATTATAGGATTTATGGACAAGGCATGACGTGATTGTAATAAATAAGCAAAACCTTTATGAAGTATTTTGACAGTTATCAGACATGGGCGTACCTGTGAAGGTCCGGGTTAGAATGAACCTTCAGTAACCCATGCTTGTCGCAAGAGGTGACTAACGGGATCGGGTAGTCAGGCTCGCTGACTTGGTTGACATATGTCATCGGTTCCCAATTCGCGCAGATTGATGCTCATGTTGTTGATCACTGGATTGTCTGGTCCAGACTCGATTATTTACAGACTGCCGCCATATAGCTGGAATATTACTGAGTGCGGCAAAAATAAAACTGACTCACTCTCTCAGACATGGGCATGATTCCAGATATTTTCATGTATAAGTCATGTATGTTGTAGACATATAACAACAAAGAGTGTACATGAAGACACCTGATTTTGGAGGTTTTCAGGAAGCTGACTATTAAGGAATGTAAATGAAGACATGCAGACAAAGTAACAAAAATTATCTTTGGTTCAGAACTTGTTTTACATCAAATTTTTGGAGCATTATACCAATATCACTGTACTTGAATACTTTTGAATGTCGCTTACACATGTTGTTTGCAAACTCTATGATATTCATACACCACAGATGTAGGAAAAGTATTATTAATTTACAATATATGTAATATTTCAGTGTTTCCTTTGAAGTTTAAATAAATCATCTTAATTTAGCTATTCTTGTCTGTACTTGATGATAGACTGAAAAAACTTGCAAGAGCAAAACAAATATTTGAACATATCTAATCATATTCTTTAAATTATTGCCAAATATTCTATAACCTTAAAATTCAATAATTCCACTGAGCCTAAAAGAGCTCTTGTTCTACCTCATTTCAAGTCAGAGATGAAAATATACAGCTCATTTACATTGACCAATGTTGATCCAATAAGTTTTTATCTTTTTATATCTTGTTATTCTTAGATTTGTACAACTCAATTCTGCTGGTAATGGTTCAGTGGGATGTATACTGGACAAAATAAGTTAGGGATATTGGTATTTTTATGATTGATATTTTATCAGTGTGTCAGTGAATAAATAGATCATTATTCATAATTTCAAAATTTACATATATCCTTAACTATTTTTTTCCAGTATATATGGGAATTGTTACACATTTACTTGCAGTTTATGCACTTGTAGCATTAATCTCAGATTCAAATAATCATGTTTAGTAGCAGGGGAATGGTATAGGAACATTTCACGATATTTGACTCACAAAGAGCTATTAGATATGTTATGCTTCTCTTCATTTTCTGTTACAACAGTTTCTTGGCCACCAAAGTTGGAATATATACAGCCACAAAAAGCATATGTTTTACCTTATATAACATAAATTAGATAGCAGTCAATGCATCAGATTTCAAAGTTTGGATGATGATTACTGTTTGACCTGGCAAGGGTTATATTTCGATTTGTGATTGGTGTTTTAGATAAATCCTAAATAAAAGGTGGGATATAAACTGGACCCTGTATACATGTTCAGCCACGTGGTTGATATCCAGGGCCCAATCAACAAAGCCGTAGTCCTAGCGCCACGAACGGTGTTTGGATCTAGGACCCTGATATATCTGAACATGTTGAGTTTGAGATTGATTGTTGTTTAATATGTGAATGTTACATGTAAAAATAGAAGATATGATTACGTTTTGTTGTTGTTTCATTATGACCACCACCTGTGTACACCTACCCCTAAAGATCCGGGTTAGAATTGATCTTCAGTAACCCATCCTTGACGTAAGAGGCGACAAATGGGATCGGGTGGTCAGGCTCGCTGATTTGGTTGACACATAATTGTATCCCAATGGCATAGATTGATACTCATGATATTGATCACTGGATTGTCTGGTCTAACTCGACCTTTTGTAACTCTATGGTTTATCATAGGCTTGCAAATGTCGTAGCTCTACGAACATTTTGTGGCTCGGGACCCTGATATAACAGAACATGTTTGAGGTTGATTGTTGTTTAAATCTGAATGTCACTTGGATAAAGAGAAGATATGACACGTTTTTGTTGTTGTTTCATTAAGAACACCACCTGAGTACACTGACCGTGAAGATCCATCCCTTGGTCAGGCTTTCTGACTTGGTTGACACATGTCATCATATCCCAATTGCATGACTCGATGCTCATTATGTTGATCACTGGATTGTCTGGTCCTGACTCGATTATTTAAAGACCATGGCCATATAGCTGGAATGTTGCTGAGTCCTGTTTTCTGTTGGAGAGAGTATATGTTTTCAGAGGAACGAAACCAGATACTTCTGTCATTAAAACTTTGAGCCGTTTTTTCCGGATTTTCCTAAAAAGAAAACGGACATCATCAATCTCTTTCCTCCCCCCCCCCCCAAAAAAACAACAACAACAACAACAACATGCTCTTACCATTTTGGTGTCTACTGTGATATGACAGATACTCACTGGTACACTGGTATACTTCTTCTCTTCCATATGCTTCTACACTGAGGGGGCGGTGGGGTAGCCTAATGGTTAAAGCGTTGGCTGGTCACGCGGAAGAGGGTTCGAATCCCACATGGGCACGATGTGTAAAGCCCATTTCTGATGTCCCCCGCCGTGATGTTGCTGGAATATTGCTAAAAGCGGCGTAAAACCAAACTCAGTCAGTCAGTGCTAAAGGGTAGCACAGCAGACCCTGGTAACCAGACTGACAGATACATTGCTAAAACAGGCCTGGGTAAAAACATACTTAATCACTCGTACAAAAACAGGAACATTGGGGGCGAGGAATGTCCGACGTTGTATGGGAATTATTTTAACTGTGTGGGCCCCATATATATTTCATGTTCCTTGCAAATCATTACAGCAACGTTTGTATTTGATATCTATATAGGACAAAAGGATATACACTTTGTACTACAGATATGTTTCATGACCATGGGACGAGTGGTGACGACAGCCAGTTAAGCACACTTCACAGTCGCCCCTGGACAAGAAGTACACCGAGTTTATTCCGTCAGCCGTCAGCCGAGAGACGAAGTCAACTTGAATAGGGTTGGTATCATAATTAATGGCTGTGTGTGTGTGTGTGTGTGTGTGTGTGTGTGTGTGTGTGTGTGTGTTAGAGAAAGAGGACAGGAATGAGGAGGGGGAATGAGTTCATTTTAAGGAGGGGTACCTACTTTGTTCTGGGGAGATAGGGTTAGGTGGGGGCATCAGTTTTGTACATGTACTGGGTGAGGTGGGGGTGGAGTCACTGATTTTGTAAATGAAATGGAGTAGGTAGTGGATGGGCACATTTTTTTTTTCTTGTTGGGGGATTCACATTGTACGTGCTTGCCCATTAAATTCATCATCAACCCATTAGCCATAAATTACGAACGGTCCCTCAGTTGTCGGTAACTGTATACTCTAATTACTCTTAACCAGGGCCTCTTGTCATATACAACTCTACATGTGTATGTACTTGCACCTATCAGTTTCACAGATAGTACTGTCTCAAGGGTTTTGTCACAGTTTAAGTATGTACTTGGATATATAACCGATAGCCAGAAACACCCCTAATCAGTTTAACCACCACAGTTTAAACTGATGGCAAGTTCATTACTCCCACCAAGTGAGTAATTATATACGCATTTGCAATAGACACACATATTTCTATAGACATGTAATTTAAAAAGAAATAATATATTTTAACTGTGGATCAACCCGAAAATCTTTTTACAGTAATATATTCAGACAAACTACTGATAAGACCGGTTTATATTTTGTATGTCCTCTTAAAGAATGTGTTAAAGACTTGCCCTCAGTTCACACGGGTGGTTTCCTGCACTTTTACTTACCCTTTTCTATGGAACCCTAGTACGAACATTGTCGCATTGTCGCGCATTTTAACGTTTTTTGACAATTTAGATGGGTCGACAATCCGACAACGCTACATATTTTGACCTTGAAAGGTGTCGGATTGTCGCCCTTTACAGAATTAGAGATATTATAAAAAAGTAACAATGCGACAAATGGCAGAAGTGTATTATTGTCGCATTGTCGTGTTTTTTGGTTACATTTGAAACTCTGGGCCTATTGGATTATGCTAAGCCGGTTTTGGTTTCTGGAAAACCATGCACTCGATTATGTTGAAACCAAAATCTGGGCTCCGAAACTTCGAAACTATCTCCGAGGCAGGTTTCGCAGTTTCGGTTTCTCTTTCTCTCGGAACAAACATGGCGAAAACCACCACACTGAGCTGCATTTGCAAGCGCCAAGTTCAGCTGATCTAGGTGGCAAAATAGAGCAGCAGTTTCCATAACCAAAATAATGATAAAAATCAACTGAGAACTAGAAAAATATTATTTAAAACCCCAGTCTACTGAACATGACTATTTTATGTAAATTGTATACATATAATTGCTTGTGTAACAGGCGTGGTTTACATTAAACTACCATCGCCCAGTGACAGCTGAGTTGAGCTGACATAGTATGTAGGAACATGATGTTGAACCAACCTTTCTTGGACTTTGCGTTGTGTACTTTTATTTTAACCCAGTTTTCCTACACTTGTAACAGTATAATTACGCACAGCATCTCATTTCTTTATTAATTGTTCATTCTATGATAAAATGACAAAAAATTAACTTCGGCAATGCTGTCATCCAATTCGTTCTACATACATGGTAGCTGAGACATTTTTTGGGAATCCATTTTGAAACCGGATGGTGAAACCATCCACTCGTTTATAAAACTAGAAACTAGTTTCATTTGAAACCATGCATCCGAAACTAGACACTCGTTTATAACAGGAGCAACCAGTTTCAGAAACCAAAACCAGTTTCACAATAATCGAACAGGCCGTTTTTGTTTGTTCTGTAAAGGCGACAACGCAAAACCTTCCCTTTTAGGATTCCATACTTTTCACTATCAGTTTGTTCAAGAGTTCCATTTGGTATCGCGGACTATGTTTCAAAATGCACTATCAGGGCTCTACTAAATTCTAAAGGAAACAAACCAGGGTCAGTAAGCAGAACGCGCCGTGATACGAGGTTTTCACGTGATGTCATATCAACGCTCATTCGTCACCACTCGCCCCTTTCCGTAACCTCCAAGAACAAGAAGACACTATTCGGCTTGTCCCGGAATAACACGAGTTGGTCACGAATGATCAACGCTGATATAGATATGAAGACACTGCACACTGAATATTGATAGTGTTGTTTGCAGGCGCGTAGCAAGGTCAGAGCGATGGCCTTTGTGTTTTAGAGATATTTATTGTGGATGTCGGACGTTTCAACAAAGAAGTAAAATATTTAGTATGATCAGTTCACAAACAACACGTAAAATGTGTACAACAAAGATCTGGGTTAGAAATGACCTTCAGCAACCCATGTTTGACGTAAGAGGCGACTGATGAGCTCGGCAGGTCAGACTCCATGACTTGGTCGACACATGGCATCGTATCCAATTGATGCTCATGCTGTTGATCACCAGATTGTGGGGTCCAGACTGCCGCCAAATAGCTAGAATATTGCTGGGTGCGCCATTAAACAACAAACAAACAAATGTGTACAGCAGAGGAAATATATCATAATTATGATTACTAGATTAGAAAATATGTAATGCAGCCAAGAGGGCTCCAGGGATGCAGGCGCAGTTAATCCCATGATCTCACCTCCGGGTCCTTGTACCCTTCACATGCAGCCCAGAGAATGTGAAGACTCCCCAACACTGCAGCCTTCTGCCTTACTCAGAATGTGAAAAGGACATTGGAAGTAAATGGAAGCGCGGCATTGCCGTGTCCTGAATTTTGTCATGTAACTGATAAGCTGACCATCCCTTGCATAATTTACATATAATTAATTAACTGTTCTCCTTCGATCCACATTTGAAGTTAACGACACTGTTCAAAGGGGCATGCTGTAGTACTATCAATAAAATGATAACTCCTAAACATATCTGATATTCAACACAACGTTTGTGCCAAAGCAGGGCCCATGCAAGTTATACAACTAATGGCAGAGTCAGTTGGTTCCACCTGTATATGATGCGCAGTGATGATGCATAGTCATGACTTCGCTTTAGCAAAAAGTGCACAAAATATCCTCCAAGATTCTGTAGATACCCGTGGATATTGTACAAATGAAGAAAAGATAAGACCAATTTAGTGCATGGTGCAAACACTCCAAACATCATATTCAGCGAAAATCTTATCCGTGGATTCCAGGAAGACATTCGTAACCAACTCCATTCGTGACCAACTCGTGTTATTCCGGGACAAGCCGACTAGCGATGGGGGTTACGGAGAGGGTCGAGTGGTGACGAATGCCCAGGAAGACTCTTCCGCTGTTGCACTGTGTTGTCACTGGGTTTATAGGCATTGTTATAATTCACTTCAATTTTTCTGATGACTCTTTGTTTCAGTGAAAGTTCGTTTGAAACAATGGCAGACAACTTGCCCGGATGGTTAAGTTACACACCCGACGACCAGCTTGAGAACCCGGTGGATACAATAATCATTGGTAAAAATCGTTTTAACTAAACACTCCGGGAACCCTGGACCTATATCTTCGAAGCCCTCTTATAGTCCAGTAAAATTAGTGGAAAAAATCACTGAACCTCCCAAAAATTGGTACAGAAATGGTTTTGTGTTTATATCGTTTACAATAGTTATGTAAACAATATATATAAAGTCCTCCCTTGGATGTTGATGCTAAGTGGCTTTTGGGGAGCAAAAACTATGAAAAAGGTTTTTTTTCAATTATTCTTTTTAATTCTGAAAATAAGTCCACAAAATGGTATAAAATTTTGCAAAACATACAACTGAACCGACAAAATAGTAAATAGTGAAAATTAAAACTGAAAAGAAATTATGACATGAGGTTTGAACTTGGATTTTGGACACTCCAGCACACTGGAAACAAGTTAGTGAGAGTTATCTCCCCTTTGTTTACAATAGATTGAAGTAGCAGAATGGAAAGGAAAGGTTATATCTTTTATAAAACTCTAACTAGACGAGGCTATTCTTAGCCAAATAGATAAAGGATTAAAAAGACAGCTAAAAGCTACAGTTAAAAGAGAGGTGATTCTGCTCCCATAATTATCCCACAGAACTATATGCACCGCGGGCGTGTAAGACGACGCACCTTGGTGATAAATGGGACATTCTGTATCAAGATTTAAACGAACTTGAAGAAACATATGCCAGAATGATAGATTAGGAAAATATGATACCATTTATATTTTCTATGCCATTAATTTAAAAACAGTTTCAAAGGGTGATTGAAGGATAGGTTTGTTCACTTCTAACTTTAACTGGCTGCTACTTATTATTATGTGAGCAGAGTGAGTATGTTTTACGCCGCTTTTAGCAATATTCCAGCAATATCATGGCGGGGGACACCAGAAATGGGCTTCACACATTGTACCCATGTGGGAATCGAACCCGGGTCTTCGTCGTGAGGAGCGAACGCTTTAAGCCCTAGGTTACCCCACTGTCCCCCTTATGTGAGCAGAATTGAGTGAGCCCTTGCAAATATTTAGAGTATTTATATAACTGGTATATTTTTATCTGATTTGAAATAATTTGAAAAACGGACTGAAATCTTCATGAAAAAACTTGAAATTGATTCAGGGGCAGTGGGGTAGCCAAGTGGTTAAAGTATTCGCTCGTCACGCCGAAGACCCGGGTTCGAATCCCCACATGGGTACAATGGGTGAAGCCCATTTCTGGTGTCCGCCGCCGTGATGTTACTGGAATATTGCTAAAAGCGGCGTAAAACCAAACTCAGTCAGTCAGTCGTTCTCCATGATGGAAACTCACAAGATTTGTGAAGAAGTCGGCGTCTGCTGACCAGGCTGAAATCTTTGCTGCTTGGCGGCTGTACAAAAAGGGACAGCTACCCCAGCCCAAGCTGCGCAAATATTTAGAGTATTTATATAACTGGTATACTCTTCTTTTTTATCTGACAATGTGTTCCAGAGTGTATGCCCCAAGTGTGTTTGAATGAACGAATGAGCAGTGTGAAACTCAAATTATGAAGTCTGTGACCAGGCTGAATTATACAAAGAGGGAACAAATGACAATGTGTTGTATGCCCCAAGTGTGTTTGAATTATGAACAGTGTGAACTGAAGTGTGTGAATTATATGAATGTGATGAACGAATGAACTGTGTAAATTATGAATTAATGAACTTGTGTAAATTATGAACGAATGTACTTGCGTAAATTGCCATAATATTAGTTTTGTTAATTATGTGAACTTGTGTTGATTAAATATATGTATTGCCATTTCATGAAAACTTGGCTACATGCTCTATTAATGCTATGCTGATATTATGCTATATGTGTCAATAAATAATGTAAAACCTTTCTAAACTTTTTTTCTGTTCGGCCCATTTGACTTTCACCTCGGCCCTTTTGACTGTACAGAATCACTATCACTGGGTGCATGCAGGGTACCAGGAAGTATCCTGATTATGTTCCGTCTGATGATACATACTGCTTCATTTGTTGAATGAATCCGTGAAGGTCCGGGTTAGAATTGGCCTTCAGTAACCCATGCTTGTCGTAAGAGGCGACTCACGGGATCGGGTGGTCAGGCTCGCTGGCATGGTTGACACATGTTTTCGGTTCACAGTTGTGCAGATCGATTCTCATGCTGTTGATCTCTGGATTGTCTGGTCCAGACTCAATTATTTACAGACCGCCTCAATATGGCTGGAATATTGCTGAGTGCGGCGTGAAACTAAACCCACTCACTCACTCATTTGTTGAATGACCATCGTGTAGTAGGTATTAGATCCACTGTTTATTTCAATGCTGAATTTTTTTTTACAAATTTAAAAAAACCGATGACACTTTATCTTACTATTTTCTTATTCCAGGGAAGATCCCTCAATGGCTGACGGGTACCCTGTACCGGAATGGATCGGGGATGTTCAAGGTAGGGGAGACAACTGTGAATCACCTCTTTGATGGAATGGCTGTCATCCATAAGTTCATCATCAAAGATGGAAAGGTTCAGTATCAGAACAAACTCTTGGACTCGGAGACCCTTGAAAAATGTCTGAAGGCTAATCGACTGGTCGTTGGTCAGTTCGCTACAGCTGCTTACCCAGATCCCTGCAAGAGCATCTTTGCAAGGTACTCTGATGTGGAAGGGTCGATATTAATTAGACAGAATAGACCAACACTGTTCTGTGATTTATATGGAATCCTAAAAGGGACATTGTCGCATTGTTGCCCTCACAAAACAAGCAGAAAGAGGCAAAATTGACCAAAACGCGACATGTGATATTTTAGCCATTTGTCGCTTTGTCGCGCTTTTAATAATTTGTTTCTTCACTGCAGTCTGAAAAACTGACTGACTGAGTATGGTTTTACGCTGTTTTAGCAATGTTCCAGCAATCTCACGGCGGGGGACACCAGAAATGGGCTTCACAAATTGTACCCATGTGGGGAATCGAACCCGGGCCTTCGGCGTGACGAGCCAACGCTTTAACCACTAGGCTATCCCACCGCCCCGGAGTCCGAAAAAGAGTATAAGGAGGGTAAAGTTAAGTTGCATCCTTGACCACATATTTGGACTACCCCAGAGGCTACTTTGTCTGCCATTATTCCGCTATTAGTGCTATCATCTTAGGACCTTAGGGGGGGAGGCCAGGGCAGGGACCAATAGTGATAGTGTAAAGTTTACTTTCCTGATGCTCTGAGAAGACAGTGTGATATCATCTAGTCTTTCCTTCATTCACTGTTCATAATCTACAAGTCATGTGATTTTTTTACACTCATGTCGTGTTTATATTTTAAGGTTTTTATCCTATTTCAACCCGGAAATGACCGACAACACTGCCGTGAACATCGTCCCCCACGGCGACATGCTTCTGGCACTGACAGAAACACCAATCTGCAATATTGTAGATCCCGAGACACTCACAAAGAAGGGAGCGGTATGTGTATCAACGCGTGGTTATGGTCGACAGGGGAACTAGCTCATAACGAATTGACGAAGTCGAGGTGATAGGTTGAGTTCAAACTTCTTTAGTTGGTTATACAGTACATGATAAACCAATATACATGAATGAGGCGAGCGGAGTTCCAGCTCAACCCTAGGGCGGTTCCAACGAGCGGCACTATCCTGCTCGCGGTCGTCCCTACACAGACAGTCGGAATACCAGACTGCTTGACAATAGAGATGTGATCATATGTTCATTTAATGTTATGTAAGATGTCCGTAAGTGGATTTCTCCTTTCCAGATTCCTTTAGACAAACTGGTTGCAGTTCACATCGCAACGGCTCACCCCCACACTGACCCTGACGGCACCATGTACAACCTCGGTACTTCATTTAACCACAAGCAAGCTTACAACATCGTCAAAATACCACCACAAGAAAATGGTAGAGACCCTGATTGACCCAGGGTTCCCTGGTGATGCTAAGTTATCAGTTTGTTGTTGTTGTAGTCTGGTTTGTTTACTATCATAATTATCATCATTATGCATGCTTGAACACGGAAAAGTTTCCTTTTCCTTAAATTAAATATCAGATATGTTAAGATGCAAGAAATGTATGCACTGTTTTTAATGAACTAAGCAAAACCTATAAATTTTAGTTTGTTATAACTGTATTTCCACTAAAAAGGACGGAATCCTAAGAAAACGATCTGTTATGTCTGTCGGTTTGTTACAAACAAGTTCATTATAAACAGAGTTAACTTTTACTCAGATGATGATGGTGCACTCATACCTCTCTACCACAGGAACAAGATCCGAAATAATTAGTGCTTATATTTAGCAAGAGATCAGAACCGATTCATGTGCACGTGCATGTGCTTTCATCGAAATCATTTGCAAAGAAAATTAATGTCATCATCGTCTCTCAATCCAGGGGGAGACAACCCCTTCAGCCGGGCATCCCTGGTGTCAACCTTTCCGTCTCGCTGGAAGGCCAACATTGCCTATAACCACAGCTTTGGAATGTCTGAGAACTACTTTGTAGTTTTGGAACAGACTCTGGTTATTAACATCTTTAAGCTGCCTCTCCTGAAGTTTACCGGAAGTGGATTTGACAGTTGTATGTACAACTATCCGGAGGAAAAGGTTAGACGACTGCCCGCTGAATCATTGTACATACTGACCAGCGTAGAGTTTGTGTTTAAACTAATTCTCATGTAGAGGCACTTCTCATCTGTAGGATTATTAGAAATTTGCTGTCTCTAAATTCAAACCATCATCGTATGTTAAAAAAAGTATCATACTTTAAGGATAACAACTTCTTTATTTATTGTGATGCGACGTTTCGGTATAGCTTGTTATCCCGTTGTCAAGACACTCTTGCTTGACAACGGTATAAGAAGCTTTTCCGAAACAATGCGACGTTTCGGTATAGCTTGTTATCCCGTTATCCAGATAGAGACTATCCCGTTGTCAAGACACTCTTGCTTGACAACGGTATAGGAAGCTATACCGAAACAATGCGACGTTTCGGTATAGTTTGTTATGGCGGCGGTCTGTAAATAAGCGTGTCTGGACCAGAAAATCCAGTGATCAACATCATGAGCACCGATCTACGCTAATGGGATACGATGACATGTGTCAAGCAAGTCATTGAGCCTGACCACCCATCCCGTTAGTCGCCTCTTACGACAAGCATGGGTTACTGTAGACCAATTCTTACCCGGATTTTCGCTGGTTCCCAAATATTAGGAATGTTTCATCATAACATTAATTAGTTCCATGTATACACAATGGTACTAATACATAAGGGAATGAACGAGTACTGTACCAGACAATCCGCTGGACAACATCATGAGCATCGATCTACTAGATTCAGATACGATGACATGTGTCAACAACACAGCGAACCTGACCACCCGATCCCGTTAGTCGCCTCTTACGACAAGCATGGGTTCCTGAAGACCAATTCTAACTCTTCACGGGCCGTCAGCAAATGACTTCATGTAAACATGGTCACAAACTGCTTTTGTCATGGTCATCTTTTCCCACCTTGGTCTTTTCAGATTAACTCACTCACTCACTCGAGCCTCATTTGATGTTGAGTGAGTCAGCTCAGGTAGTTAGTAGTGGCAAACCTCTGAGGCTTTCCTAACGAATGAAATTACGGATCAAACTGACACAGTTCCTTGAAATGGCATTTAATAAGAGTTTGCACCAGAATCTTAAATTTATGCATCCATTTTTTACCACAGGCTCTTATCCATCTTGCCCGGCGGTCAGACGGAAAGACGCTAACAACTCGATACACTGCCGACGCCCTCTTCTGCTTCCACTTCATCAACAGCTATGAAGACGACGGCCACATCGTCATGGACTTATGTGCTTATGATGATGGGGGTGTTGTACGTGACGTTTATATTAAGGATCTCAAGGAAGGGGTCTTCTCACAATTTTATGCCACAGTGAGGCGCTATGTACTTCCTCTTGACGTCGAGAAGGTAATTCAAGTTGCTTAGCCACTTGGTAAATCAGTGGTTTATATTTTACATGTAAGTTTGGATATTATTGCGGAGATGTAGATTTGACGTATCAATTTGTGCGACTGTAAGACACGTATCCTACATGTAAGCATCAAAAAGGGATTCTTTTTCTTATATAAAATTTATCTTTTATTAATGACACACACAAGTACGCTGTCAGATACGTCAGCTGTATTATGTCAGATAGAGACGGTGTGTGTAACCTCTTGATGTCGAGATGACAGATACGTCAGCTGTATTATGCCAGATAGAGACGGTATGTGTAACCTCTTGATGTCGAGGTGACAGATACGTCAGCTGTATTATGCCAGATAGAGACGGTATGTGTAACCTCTTGATGTCGAGATGACAATTCATCCTGATTGGCCATTCAGTTTCACAGTGGTTAATGTTCACACATATTCTTCCGGAAAATTATTGCAAAGTTTGATATGAAAGATCTCCATATGGAAATGACAAGATATATCTACTGTTACCCAATCAGATGCTGTTAGGTTTGGCTTGGTTGTGTAACAATATTCCAACAATGTTACGGCTGTCTGTAAATGATCTAGTCTGGACCAGACAATCCAGTGATAAACATCATGAGAATCAATCTGTGCAAAGGAGATATGATGACATATCAACCAATTCAGCGAGCCTGGCCACCCGATCCCTCTTACGACAAGCATGGGTTGCTGAACACCATGTCTGTGGATAAACACCATGTCTGATATATATTATGTTCATATTGAATTGACATGATAACATAACCATTTGTCAGTTAGTGTTAGATCCGTATCATACACATATACAGCAATAAGGATTCTAATTCTGAGTGAAGTTGGATGGGTTGCTAAAGACCATCTCTGACCCGGATCTTCCTGGGTTTGATGCTGTTAGAGGTGTATCATACACATATACAGCAAAAGGTATTTTTATTTTGAGTGAAGTTGGATGGGTTGGTAAAGACCCTCTCTGACCCGGATCTTCCCGGGTTTGATGCTGTTAGACGTGTATCATACACATATACAGCAAAAGGTATTTTTATTTTGAGTGAAGTTGGATTTCTTAAACCACACAGGCAGAGAGCGGCAAGAACCTGGTGACTCTGGCAGACACCACGGCTACAGCTGTCAAACAGGCGGACGGCTCCATCTTGTGTACCCCTGACTACATCACAGGAGGTGGGTTGTACATTGGTGGATTTAGCTAGTATTGGTTAGGGTATTTGTTTGATGTAGTTTTTTGGTTTGCGCTGGTACCATAAGTACGTTTGGATTTGAAGGTTGTCATGGTTTTAGCATGTGAGTGTTGTAGAAGTTGATGCTTTGAACACTTTTTGGTTGTTGTTTCTTTGCCAAACATTTGCTTGTATGTTTATGACAGACACTATATCTGGTATGCCTCCTATAAACAACTGGAGAAAATTGGGGATGTTATTTTACATTATTTGGATGAAGATCAAAATCACTTGGTAGACCTCGACGTTAAGTAAAAATGGTGTGCTTGGGTATTTATGAATGGAATTCGAAAGCCCACGTATGATTGATATGCATACTGTTACGGTTTAGAAATTACAGAGAAATAGGGCTTGTTTGGCCCCTTTAACCCTTTAAGAGGTTACAATGAATGAAAGTACAGATTTCCAATACAATTCATGTGAGTCACAAATCTAACATATAGTAACTCACCAAAGTCTTGATATTTCAAAAGATGTACTGATTGGAGATTGTTCAATGTAGACGAGACTTCTTGAGCGCTCGGTTTTGGAACGTTGATGTTAGCAGACAGATGACCGTAAATATAAAGATGTAGTCCCTCATACATCAAGCATCCCTTATATACACCTATTATACAGTTTTAGTGAATTCTAACAAAACCATACCACACTTCGACCATCCAGAAATTTCTCATAGCTTCAGCATCCTACCGGAAGCAAAACAAAGGGGAAGTAAGTCCCGAGCCCACTCTCAACAGGTGTAAAGACACAGTCAAGGTTCGAGTTCAAATCCACACTCAGCTCTTTATACCTTTGGACCCATAATAACCAAAAGTTAATCAATGTGACATTTTAACAACTGAAACACCCCCCCTTAACAATACGGTTATCAAACTATCCACTGGATGAAGGTTGAATGATTCAGACGTCCACCACCGCATCAGGCTTTGCTGTAGATAACACACTGTCCTTCATCGTACATTTCATTGTGATATTTTCCAGATGCATCCAATGGCATAAGAATGGACCTACCCAGAATCAACTATTCCTACAACGCAAAGAAGTACAGATACTGCTATGGAACTGAATTATTGACAGACAAACCAATGGTGACACACTTTGAACTGGAAATCCACGAATAATGTAGAACAGTACCAGAAATGATGTTAAGTCCAGAGGTTGTGTGCCATCCTTATTTCACTCGCCCACAATATTTGAAACTAAACTTAGTTGCACATGCTGTCTAAATTTTAAATTGGAAACAAAATAAATTGGTGCATTTGCAATTGGTTCAGAATTATAATTCTCAGATGCTTCTAATCAAAAGGATGGGTGTGGGTGTGGGGGGGAGGCGGGGGAGGGTGTGGTTATGAGCGGAAGGTCGCGGGTTCGATCCCCGACCGCGTCATACCATAAAACGTTAAAATATGGTACTTGTTAGTCCCTGCCTGGCGCTCGTCATTAATGCGTACAACAAGGACTTGTCGGCTCGGATTCAGTATAATGTGTCATGCTTCACTGCGGCATGGCATCTCAGTGGGCTAGCACTATAAAACCAGCTTAAGTCTGGGCTAGTACAAGCAGCCGCACATACACATACACACGCATGCACGTCGTCATATGAGCGAAATATTCTCAAGCACGACGTTAAACCCAATTTCACCTCACCTCACCTCAGTATTATGAAATTTACGCTTAGTAGTGCATTCATTACTGTTAAATATGCATAGTATAACGGAGAGTTTTTTCAGTGTGATACAATTTAGTATCATACAGAAATGTTTGTTTAATTTCTTAAATATATTTCATGTGATACTTGTCCATATTTCATTTGCAAGAGGGGGCGGTGGGGAAGCGTAATGGTTACAGCGTTGGCTTGTCACGGTGAATGACCCCGGTTCGATTCCCCAGATAGGCTCGATGTGTGAAGCTTATTTCTTGTTTCCCCGCCGTGGTATTGATGGAATATTGCTCTAAGCGGCGTAAAACCATACTCACTCACTTGTTTGCATAATCAGTTTGTTTTGTTTTGGTTTTTTTGCAAGTTCTGTCTTGTTTTGCCCCCTTGGAATGCCAGGTAACAATGGGTTGCCAGCAACCAGTGTGTCATGAGAGACAACTGGTCTGAGCCCACTTGCACAAAGCGATCTTAGCGCTACAACTATCTTCAGCCTATGTTGGAGAATGGGAGTTACAATCATTGTAGCGCTAAGATCGCTTTGTGCATGTGGGCCCTGATAGTCGGGCAGCTGGACTTAGTGTTATACACAGGATAATACTCGGGCAATGTGCATTGTCTTTCAGTCGCTTGCATTTTGTTGAATGCAGATTATAACAATGAAAGCAACAATGATACTCTGTGGTTTCAGCTGACCAAAGTGGACATGAAGACGAAGACCTGTGTCTATTGGAATGCAGAGGAGGAAGAAATGGCCGGTGAACCTGTGTTCATAGAGAGGCCAGGGGCAACCGAGGAGGACGATGGTATGTGTCCATCACATATATCGGGTGGAATCAGGATAGGATGGGCTCCTTGGAGAGGGTCTTCCTATCTGGATATATGCGAGCAAGATTTGTGTATCGTCGGGTAATCTCAGCTGTCCTTCAGCTTCGGACCCGTGAAGATCCTGGATTGAACCCGGGTTCTGTTTCTTGTAGAATCTAGTAGGGAAGGGTCATTTTGTAGTGGAGGGGTTTGGGGGTGGGGTTTGGGGGTGATTTGATGAGGTTTGTCATAGATCTCTCGCTGTTGGACACAAGAGAGAGGGTTGAGGTTCGTGATAGGCCTCTCACTGTTGGACACAAAAGAGAGGGGTGCGATGGTCCTTGTTGGACACAAGGGAGATGGGTCTCACTGTTGGACACAAAGAGAGGGCGAGGTTTGTGATGGGTCTCTCACTGTTGGACACAAAAGAGAGGGGTGCTGTTTGTGATGGGCCTCTCACTGTTGGACACAAGAGAGAGGGGTGACGTTTGTGATAGATCTCTCACTGTTGGACACAAGAGAGTGTTGAGGTTTGTGATGAGTTTTTCACTGATGGACACAAGAGAAAGGGTTGAGGTTTGTGATGGGTCTCTCACTGTTGAAATACAAGAGAGAGGGGTGACGTTTGTGGTAGATCTCTCACTGTTGGACACAAGAGAGTGTTGAGGTTTGTGATGGGTCTCTCACTGTTGGACACAAGAGAGAGGTTTGAGGTTTGTGATGGGTCTCTCACTGTTGGACACAAGAGAGAAGGGTGAGGTTTGTGATGGGCCTCTCACTGTTGGACACAAGAGAGGGTTGAGGTTTGTGATGGGTCTCTCACTGTTGGACACAAGAGAGAAGGGTGAGGTTTGTGATGGGCCTCTCACTGATGGACACAAGAGAGAAGGGCGAGGTTTGTGATGGGTCTCTCACTGATGGACACAAGAGAGAGGGGTGCGGTTTGTGATGGGTCTCTCACTGTTGGACACAAGAGAGAGGGGTGAGGTTTGTGATGGGTCTCTCACTGTTGGACACAAGAGAGAGGGGTGATGTTTGTGATGGGTCTCTCACTGTTGGACACAAGAGAGAGGGGTGAGGTTTGTGATGGGTCTCTCACTGTTGAAATACAAGAGAGAGGGGTGACGTTTGTGATGGGTCTCTCACTGTTGAAATACAAGAGAGAGGGGTGACGTTTGTGGTAGATCTCTCACTGATGGACACAAGAGAGTGTTGAGGTTTGTGATGAGTTTTTTACTGATGGACACAAGAGAGAAGGGTGAGGTTCGTGATGGGTCTCTCACTGATGGACACAAGGGGGAGGGTTGAGGTTTATGATAGGTCTCTCACTGTTGGACACAAGAGAGAGGGGTGAGTTTATGATGGGTCTCTCACTGTTGGACACAACAGAGAGGGGTGCGGTTTGTGATGGGTCTCTCACTGTTGGACACAAGAGAGAGGGGTGAGGTTTGTGATGGGTCTCTCACTGTTGAAATACAAGAGAGAGGGGTGACGTTTGTGATAGATCTCTCACTGATGGACACAAGAGAGTGTTGAGGTTTGTGATGGGTCTCTCACCGTTGTACACGAGAGAGAGGGTTGAGGTTTGTGATAGATCTCTCACTGTTGGACACAAGAGAGTGTTGAGGTTTGTGATGAGTTTTTCACTGATGGACACAAGAGAGAAGGGTGAGGTTCGTGATGGGCCTCTCACTGATGGACACAAGAGAGGGTTGAGGTTTGTGATGGGTCTCTCTCACTGTTGGACACAAGAGAGAAGGGGTGGGTTTGTGATGGGCCTCTCACTGATGGACACAAGAGAGGGTGAGGTTTGGATGGGTCTCTCACTGTTGGACACAAGAGAGGGGTGAGGTTTGTGATGGGTCTCTCACTGTTGGACACAAGAGAGAGGGGTGAGGTTTGTGATGGGCCTCTCACTGTTGGAAACACAAGAGAGGGGTGAGGTTTGTGATGATGGGTCTCTCACTGTTGGACACAAGAGAGGGGTGAGGTTTTAGATAGATCTCTCACTGTTGGACACAAGAGAGATGGTTGAGGTTTGTGATGAGTTTTTCACTGTTGGACACAAGAGAGAGGGTGTGGTTTGTGATGGGTCCCTCACTGTTGGACACAAGGGAGAGGGGTGAAGCTTTGTGATGGGTCTCTCACTGTTGGACACAAGAGAGAGGGGTGAGGTTTGTGATGGGTCTCAATTGCTGTTGGACACAAGAGAGAAGGGTGAGGTTTGTGATGGGTCTCTCACTGTTGGACACAAGAGAGAGGGTGAGGTTTGTCAGTGATGGGTCTCTCACTGTTGGACACAAGAGAGAAGGGTGAGGTTTGTGATGGGTCTCTCACTGTTGGACACAAGAGAGAGGGTTGAGGTTTGTGATGGGTCTCTCACTGTTCTGGACACAAGAGAGGGGTGCGGTTTGTGTTTGTGATGGGTCACTCACTCACTGTTGGACACAAAGAGAGAGGGTGTGGGTTTGATGGGTCTCACTGTTGGACACAAAGAGACTGTTTGTGATGGTCTCTCACTGTTGGACACAAGGGAGAGGGGTGAGGTTTGTGATGGGTCTCTCACTGTTGGACACAAGAGAGAGGGGGTGAGGTTTGTGATGGGTCTCTTCACAAGAGAGAGGGGGTGACGTGATGATAGGTCAGTGTGGATGGTCTCTCACTGTTGAAATACAAGAGAGAGGGGTGACGTTTGTGATAGATCTCTCACTGTTGGACACAAGAGAGAGTGTTGAGGTTTGTGATGATTTTCACTGATGGACACAAGAGAGAGGGTTGAGGTTTGTGATGGGTCTCTCACTGATGGACACACAAGAGAGGGGTGAGGTTTGTGATGGGTCTCTCACTGTTGGACACAAAGAGAGGGTTGAGGTTTGTGATGGGTCTCTCACTGTTGGACACAAGAGAGAGGGTGTTGAGGTTTGTGATGGGTCTCTCACTGTTGGACACAAGAGAGGGTTGAGGTTTGTGATGGGTCTCTCACTGTTGGACACAAGAGAGAGAGGGTTTGAGGTTTGTGATGGGTCTCTCACTGTTGGACACAAGAGAGAAGGGTGAGGTTTGTGATGGGCCTCTCACTGTTGGACACAAGAGAGAAGGGTGAGGTTTATGATGGGCCTCTCACTGTTGGACACAAGAGATGGTTGAGGTTTGTGATGGGTCTCTCACTGTTGGACACAAGAGAGGGGCGAGGTTTGTGATGGGTCTCTCACTGATGGACACAAGAGAGAGGGGTGCGGTTTGTGATGGGTCTCTCACTGTTGGACACAAGGGAGAGGGGTGATGTTTGTGATGGGTCTCTCACTGTTGGACACAAGAGAGAGGGGTGAGGTTTGTGATGGGTCTCTCACTGTTGAAATACAAGAGAGAGGGGTGACGTTTGTGATGGGTCTCTCACTGTTGAAATACAAGAGAGAGGGGTGACGTTTGTGATAGATCTCTCACTGATGGACACAAGAGAGTGTTGAGGTTTGTGATGAGTTTTTCACTGATGGACACAAGAGAGAAGGGTGAGGTTCGTGATGGGTCTCTCACTGATGGACACAAGGGGGAGGGTTGAGGTTTATGATAGGTCTCTCACTGTTGGACACAAGAGAGAGGGGTGAGGTTTGTGATGGGTCTCTCACTGTTGGACACAAGAGAGAGGGGTGAGGTTTGTGATGGGTCTCTCACTGTTGGACACAAGAGAGGGTTGAGGTTTGTGATGGGTCTCTCACTGTTGGACACAAGAGAGAGGGTGAGGTTTGTGATGGGTCTCTCACTGTTGGACACAAGAGAGAGGGGTGAGGTTTGTGATGGGTCTCTCACTGTTGGACACAAGAGAGGGTTGAGGTTTGTTGTTTGTGATGGGTCTCTCACTGTTGGACACAAGAGAGGGTTGAGGTTTGTGATGGGTCTCTCACTGATGGACACACGAGAGAGAGGGGTGACGTTTGTGATGGGTCTCTCACTTTTGGACACAAGAGAGAGGGGTGAGGTTTGTGATGGGTCTCTCACTGTTGGACACAAGAGAGAGGGTTGAGGTTTGTGATGGGTCTCTCACCGTTGTACACGAGAGAGAGAGTTGAGGTTTGTGATGGGTTTCTCACTGTTGGACACAAGAGAGAGGGGTGAGGTTTATGATGGGTCTCTCACTGTTGGACACAAGAGAGAGGGTTGAGGTTCGTGATAGGTCTCTCACTGATGGACACAAGAGAGAGGGGTGAGGTTTGTGATAGGTCTGTCAGTGTTGGACACAAGAGAGAGGGTTGAGGTTCGTGATAGGTCTCTCAGTGATGGACACAAGAAAGAGGGGAGAGGTTTGTGATTGGCCTGCCACTGGCGGACACAGTAGGGAGGGGTGCGGTTTGTGATTGATCTGTCACTGGTGAACCAAAATATTTGCAGTGTGACCTGAAATGTCGTTTGAATTCATTGCAACTGGCGCCATATTCTTCAGGTTTGCCTACTTGTAGCTTGAAATATTGTTTGCACATTAAGAAGGCAATCAAAACAAAATTTACGAATAATTGTATAATACACATTTCAGATTTGATCTCATTTAACATTTTGAAATTAATTGGTATACATAAACCAAAGTATCATTTAACCAAGTATTGCATTGTTTCAGGCATAATCCTGTCCCCTGTCCTCCCTACAAAACCTGGACGCCAGGCCTTCCTCCTGGTGCTTGATGGGAAGACATTCAAGGAGCTGGCCAGAGCAGTGACGCCCCCTGGTGTCAAGATGCCAATCACCTTCCACGGGTCGTTCATACCCTGAGGGGAAGTGGAACGAAATATACCCCTATGGCATTGGCTAGAACTGGGACGGGTAACCCGGATACCAGGGACGGGTGGGTAATGAGTTGGACCCGGTACCCATCTCAATACCCGGACCCGTTATGATCATGTGACTAATAGATTAAACAATGTCATATGCTATTCTTTCATGATTTAAAGGTGGTAATGGCTTTGAACATATCTAGACATAATTACAGTCACCTCTTTTGAATATAATGCATAGTTGGGATATTGAAAAACTCAATACTTTAGCCTCCGGGCTGAAGTATATTTCGCTTTTTCTTACAACTTTGATGTCAGGAATTAACATAACCGGTATCCGGGTAGGGTAGGTTAATAGCGGGCGGGGTACCCGGGTAGAATATATAGACCCGTCCCAGCCCTTGCATTGGCAACCACATTTGGTATTGATGATATAAACTTTTCTTCACAGTAGGATGTTGGCATCTTGTCCGTTTTGTCCAACTGAAAAGGATAGCTTGAAAGCATTACTTTGTTGGTATTTGTTATTTTGTTATAGTATGACCAAAAACTATTGAGAATTTTAGGAATATGTTTAATTGGATTTCTAGTATAAACAACCTTGACCAGCTATCAAGTGCTTGGTTTCGTTCAAGAGAGACAACTCCGTTAATCCTTTTTCATTAGTTTGTGAAGAGTTATCCCCCTTTGTTTACTTGCTAGCAGACGACATTTTCAGTGATCCTCAGTATGAATGATTAAGAGAAGAGGAAGTTGATTTTAGAGTATTATAACAAGGACATCAGATCAGCTAAAGTTATTTCAAGTAGAACAGGCATCCCTTTTGTCCACTGTTTATCGTGTTTTGAAAAATATTGCAAATGGATATGGAATTGAGCACCAGGGAGGTGCAGGTAGGCCCAGAAAATTGACTGTCGGTGACAGGAGGCGGCTAGATATTCTTGTTTCTAAAAACAAACGAAGGAGTTTAGAAAACTTAAGGCTGGATATGATTGATAGAGGAACTGTGGCTGTCTGTAAGGAGACAATTAGAACTGAGCTGCATGCAATGGGTTGGCAGAAAAGTCGAGGAATTCCATCAATGATCATGAAACCTGAACAAAAGGAGCGAAGGTCGAACTGGTGCTTACAGCATAGACATTTTAACTGGGACAATGTGATTTTCTCAGATGAAAGTTCTGTGTGGCTGATTCCTAATACACTGAAATTATGGACCAAACAAACTGAAAACCTTTGTATCAGCGCCGAAAATACAGTCCGAAATTTAACGTGTGGGATGGCATATCTGTGTTAGGGGCAACTCAACATCTGCTGTGAACATTGCATGGATCTCTACATCGAAGTTCACATACTATTTTCCTGTCCAAAATATTCTGCTCTCCGAATGAAATATTTACCTTGGTTAACCTCTGTTGTGCCAAACAAATGTAACTCCATCAAACTTATTCTTCACAAAATCCACAAACAATCAAATTACTATCATTATATTTGAAGCATGTATTTAATGCATGCCGTTCCTAATTATTAGTTTGCTTTATTACATCAAATCCACGTGACAAAATAATATGTTCTGGTGTAATTGTACCCTAGGTCATATGGCCTGCAGTACTGAATAAACGAGTCTGAGTTTGAGTCTGAGTGTCGGAATTTGGTCTTGTTTGTCAAGCAGGAAAATAAAGTTTGTAATCATTACAAGAAGGCGTACCCATAGGCACAAGTGTTTTAGGCACATTGGAATTGATGAATCAGGTTAGCAAAATCAAAACAAGGTAAATTGACCAACACTTTTGACTTAAACTTAATGTATATCGATGATCTAATATCGTTCAATAGCCAATTCCCACAAGAACGAAATAAAGGAAACCAGTGAAACGACTTCATATGTTTCATATTCAGATCCATAAATAATATAAAGACTACGACTGACAAAACTCTCCCCACAAGGCTGTATGGCAGAATGGATGATTTCAACTTTCTAATAGTCAACTTCCCTGTTATGACGAACCAACTTCCAACAACTCCAGCCTTCAGTGTTTAGGTGCAATCGAGCATGCCGTTACTAAAGCCCTTCAAAGCATGTCACAAGCCTCTTACTCAGAAAGCCATGCTTGTCGTAAGAGGCGACTAACGGGATCGGGTGGTCAGGTTCGTTACGTAGATCGATGCTATCGCTTGTTGATCACTGGATTGTCTGGTCCAGTGTCGGTTATTTACAGACTGCCGCCATATAGCTGGAATATTGCTGAGTGCGGCGTTAAACAACAAACCAAACAACCAACTAACCTCCATGAGAAACACATACTCACTCACTCACTCAGAAAGTCCGAGGGGCACATCAAGGGTACAACATACAAGTGCTCAGTAAATCTTTCAAAGGTTTTGAGGTAGACCTGTGAAATAGGTGAAGAATTGACTAGCCTTTGCATATGTTTATGACGCATTCCACAGGTAGAGCAGGATGCACTCACCCTTTTTGCGGACAGTATGATTTTCTGCAGTCTACTCTGTGTTATCGCTTTATGTATAGTTCGGTTCATAATTATTGAGAATTTTTCATGTTAGTTTAAACTCCTAGGTTTTTTCATGAGCTCCACTGATGATGAAATTCTGCTATCAGTCCAAGGGAGGCAACTCTTCTTGTCTTTCTAGACATGTCAGATTAGAGTTACCTCCCCTTAAATTTAAGTTTAAGACATTTTCCAAAACAATGTCCAAAATGGCTGCTGATGAGAAAAGAAGGTTGATTTTAGATTTGTACAATGGAGGTATCACTGATGTCCATACACTGTAAGAAAGAGCAGACACTCCTCTATCAACTGTGTACAGGGCTAAGAAGGATATTGAGAGTGGAGCTGGAATTGAGCACAAGAAAGGAGCAGGGAGGCCGAGAAAATTGGAATTTGGAGATCGGGTCAGATTTGGTATTTTGGCTTCAAGAAAAGAGCAAGTATTTCCAACATCAGGTATGAGATGATAAATAGATGCTCACCTAGTGTTTCTAAATCCACTATCAGACGAAATTTAATTGATCTTGGATGGGAGAAAAAGAGGGGAACTCCAGACATGAAAGACAGACATAAGGAAAACCGTGTTTTGTGGTGTCAGGACCATGAAAACTTGGACTGGAGCAACACAATTTTCACTGATGAAAGTTCAGTCTGGGTGTATACTAACAATGTTAAGATGTGGACAAAATCTGATTCAGCACCGGCGTACCACAGGCCGAAATACAGTCCCAAGTTTCATGTGTGGGGTGGAGTGTCGCTACTGGGAACGACTCCTTTGTGCGTGTTTGAGGGAAATTTGACTAGTGAACGGTACACAGACATTCTTGAGAACGTTCTTCTTCCAAATGCAGGAGTCTTTTATGGGAATGACTGGATTTTGCAACAGGACAATGACCCAAAACACACAGCAAAGCACTCTAAACAGTGGTTCCAAGAGAAAAACGTGACACTGCTCCCATTTCCCAGCTACAGTCCGGATCTGAATCCCATTGAGAACATTTGGGGGATGATGAAGGAGAATGTCAACCAAAAGGGACTCACCAAACTTGAAGACATGAAGAGACATGAAGAGAGAGGTAGTGCGATATTGGGACAGTATACCCCATGAAACTCTAACCTCTCTGATAGAGAGTATGCCTACCCGCATTAGACTGTGCATGGAAAGTAACGGGGATCTGATAAAATATTAATTTCATACCTGCAGAAATCTACAGGGTATGTACAAGTATTGAATACTGAGTAATTTCAGATTTCACTCATTATTTGCATTTTAGTAACATTCATGGGATTCTCAATAATTATGAACCGAACTGTATTATGTGAGGTGAGGTGAAATTGGGTTTAACGTCGTGCTTGAGAATATTTCGCTCATATGACGACGTGCATGCGTGTGTATGTGTATGTGCGGCTGCTTGTACTAGCCGAGACTTAAGCTGGTTTTATAGTGCTAGCCCACGGAGATACCATGCCGCAGTGAAGCATGAATACCCAACTCAGACACATACTGAATCCGAGCCGACCAGTCCTTGTTGTACCCATTATGCCGAGCGCCAGGCAGGGACCAACAGGTACTATGTTATAACGTCTGTTGGTATGACGCGGTCGGGGATCGAACCCGCGACCTTCCGCTCTCCAGGCGGACGCTCTAACCACTACACCACGGAGGCGGTTTATATATTAGGACTTTATTTGACGTACATGTAATGACGTGTTTTAAATGTTTGCATAATTTATATGTTCTCTTTTCACACTTACTGCAGTGTTACAATGATGTGATATATTGAAATAATAAAATAAATAATATACAGGGTGACCGTATTTGGCTGCTGGACTCCTGAGAGATTTCAGAAGTCCTGTCCCCATATGTGCTACCTGGTCACACATTAGGCAAGTGGGTTTAGCAGAAAATGTGTACCGGGTGGAATAAGTCATATGACTGTTAACCTTCTAGCACCTCACAGGTAGCTTGGGTTATCCAGGGTAATAATGTCCAGCATGTTGTATGCGCTGACTAACGGGATCGGGCGGTCAGGCTCACTGGTTTGGTTGACACATGTCATCGGTTCCCAATTGCGCAGGTCGATGCTCATGCTGTTGATCACTGGATTGTCTGGTCCAGACTCGATTATTTACAGACCGCCCCCATATAGCTGGAATATTGCTGAGTGCAGCGTAAAACTAAACTACCTCATTCACTGTATGCCCTTAGAGCATGCCGCTCGGTGTAGAGTTCAGTGTTATATATATGTGGTTTTACTATTATCATAAAGTCAGCAACAACCATCAGCAATCTCCTTATCCACTCATCCGTTCCTAATTTCAACTGTTGGTTGGTATCAGTACACACATCATAATTATGGATATGTGTAAGACGGATGACGACTTGTTTATTCCATTATGATGAGACGGTTTGATATAGATCCCTAATCCTTGGTGTGGGTAAACTGACCTTTGATCTGTAGTAAAAACAGTTGTGAGTGTCTCAGTGTGTTTACTCAGAACTAGTTACCAGTAAAAACACTGAAGAATCTTAATCAATATTAGGAATTAAATACTTAGGAACTAAAATTTGTCATTGTTTTCGGGTGTACTGTCTGAGAGTCCCCTTCAACGACAACACCATCACATCAGTCTATGCCCGGTGTGGCAGTGAACATCCGACTTCATAAATATGTCATTATGTCATAAGACCTTTACATTTGACAAAGAAAAAACTAAAAACGCATTCTTCTTCAATACACTTCTTTTTAGAAAATGAAAAGGGGACTCTTTTACCTAGGTAATTTTAGGACGTTTTTACCGAGCACATTTTTACCGATCATCTGTAATTATGACCCGGATTTTCAATATAATTTATGTCCCCAAAACTACGGCGCATTCAAATAACAGTATTTTTAATATTATACAATGAAAACGAAAGCGTGCTAAAATACCTAGTGCTTCAGTACATTGAGGCATATTATCAACCAAACAACGCCATTTCGGTGTACGTGTAACCATATACAAACCCCAATAATATATACACATTCTGTTTTATGTTTTTACTTGATCTTTATTAGTTTATATCGTTTAATATATTATGAACGCTTCGTACGATTCATAGCATTCGTGATCAAGTTGATCGAGTCCTTCCAGAACAAGCCCTGCAGGTTACGCCTGTATCACAGTCCCTGAGCAACATTATTTTCCCTACTGCGTAGCCATCCATGCGATGCTAAAGCCAGGGGCTCCATTTTCAATTTAAATGGGTTTCGCTATCAAGGACCTCAAAATTATATATATACAGAGATTTAGCGTTAGTCTAGTAACTAGGGGTGCCAGTCAAATCGCCCGAGCTACAAAACGCCCCAGCCAATTTGGTCAAAATGCCCCAGAGTTTTGGTCAAATCGCCCCGGTGTCCTCCCATTACGCAGACAGCCAGTTCGCAGACACCTTAAAACAACAACATTTACGGTTCAATGAACAGATGAGCAACTACCTGTTACCTACACATTATAATGGAATAGTCCAAATAAAAACAAAAACAAAAAATTTAATATTTATTTGATAACAAGAATATAATATTTTTCAAATAACAATGCGTAATAGTAGCACAGTAGCTTCAAGTAGATATATCTTTGACATAGCAATGTTTTATCTGTATTTATAGATCTAATTAAAGCTTAGTTATAGCAAGTCCAGTTCATGTCTTGTTAGCCAAGTTTTATGAGGTTGCCCACCGCATCTAGGAACTGAAGAGGATTTTTATCGCCGCGACTCAGTGTGTCTTTGAGCCTCAGGATCCTGTTGTCGATCTCTCTGTAGACTCGGTTGCGACTTGGAGGAGCAGCCCCAAAGTCGAGTTATCTCAGCTTGGCTCTGTCAGCCATCTCGATCCTCCGAATTACTTCCACAAAGCGAAATATGTTGGGGTGGCGGTGTGGAAGAGATCTGTTCATCCGACTGTGGAAACCTTCCAAGTTGTTGTTGGTCCTTGGTCCTACAGTGTTGTGATGGTTCCAAAGTGACAGTGGGAATCGGGCGTCATAGACCACCCATGTGACGACCATGTAATCCTTGATGTCCTCAATGCGGTCAGAGGCTGGGGAGGAGTCCATGGCATCAATCCAGGTGTCTTGAACCTGATCTTGTGGCAATAAGGCAAGGGCAGCTGCTCTCCTGATGAACTCATTTACTGCTGGATCCTCCTTGTATGCAACTGTGAGACCTAGATCTTGTGTCTTCACCCACAGGGCTTGGGAGAAGTGGAACAAGCATCCCTTGGTCTCTGCATTTGGAAATTCCATCTCGATGGCTCGGATGGTGGCAAGCTCAAAATCTGTCTGTATTTTTGCTGGGGCCAGGGGACGATTCAGTTCCTCCAACACCTTCTCCTTGAGGAGGCGGAACAGTCTAACGTAGGTGGTGGTTTGACGATCAGGCAGAAGGGCAAAGACTAAGGGGTATGACACAGAGTTGCAACGGGCATGAATAATGTAAACCTGATCCCAAAGCTCAGGGCAGGCAGTGGAAAGTTCCATCCATGTAGATGGTATCGGCGGTCTGCAGCACCTGGAGCTGTTCAGTGGTAGAGAACACTAGGATCTTGTCTTGTTCTCCATCAGAAAGAAGAAGGAAACGACGTCCATCACTTGTCTCTGTCCAACTGTCTTCCAAATGCACTTCTCGGAGGGTGGTAGGTAACGCTGGCATGGTCTTGCGGCGGTGTCTGTGCAGAGAACTGCTGACGCTGGTGAAAGATGGAAGAACGTGTAGGTTGTCTTCCTCCTCTACTGACAGCTGCTCTGTGTACAAGGTCTGCATCTGTGTTGTCTCCTCTCTAGCTCGCTTGCGCAGTTCACTGACAAATCTTTGCTTGTTCCATTATACCCGTAGGTGTTACCCTAATTAACCTTCTTGCTCAGTGTCTGCCAACTGGGTGTCTGTCAAATGGGTGTCTGTCAAATGGGAGATAACCATCGCCCCAGGTTTGGTCAAATTGCCCCAGGGGGGTAGTCAAAATGCCCCAATGTATTTAAATTGGTTAAATATATGCCACAAATGCATAGTTTTTGTCAACTTCCTTATTATATTCCATATATAATATTATATTAGTAATATTTCTGATAAATTTTCTATTACTAAACTGATAAGACCAAAAGTAATATTCATGTATAGACAACACTGTAATACCAATTATTTGTGGTAAAGAATTACAAGAGTAAAATGAAAGATTTCTATAATATGTTTATTGGCTGTAAATAGTTTTTGGTCAACAAATGGCATTATGTAATCATAACAAGTATGGTATAATATTTATTATTTAAGCATATTTATTTCCAAAGAAAGGAACCGGATTGGTAAACAAGCATAAGCTTATATGAATACAATGGAAGGAAGAATAAACTCGTCATGACGAATGTACAATGTGAATGATATATAAATGTTGCAAAAACGAGAAATAACGCCAATCATTGTTAAACGGTATATGTCATATAAACAAAATATTTTGGATCAAATCTGCCTGTTAAATTTATAAAAGAGCGCACTGAAATTAAAAGTTCAATTGTTTACTATTGAGGAGCAGCGTTGGTTTCCAAACAAAATTGATTTTAGGTCAAATCCTTTAGTAAAAAATACATAATTTGACGTATATCGTTGTAAAGAGTACATGAAAAGAAATGGTGAACAGAGTCTTCATAGTTATGGCCACAAGAGCAAGATGATGTCGGAGATATAAATCTTTCATATTTGTGCGCATTAAGGTCACTACACTCAAGTTGGAGACGAGGATGTATGATTAGACAAAATCTGCTACAGAAATTTAAGTCAAAATGACTGTAGATATTACAATCGTTCAATAGGTGATGGTCAGTTAGTGAATGTTTTTATAGCCTGTTTTTATCCACACTTTTTGACAAGATTAATTAACAAAAGCTCTAGATTGTTTTGATAATCATTATACCATACTTGTTGAGAAAACCTATGCATTTACGGCCTCACCTTTTGACAAGATTAATTAACAAAAGCTCTAGATTGTTTTGATAAGTATTATACCATACTTGCTGACAAAAACTATGCATTTATGGCCAATAAACATTTTATAAAACCTTTCATTTTATTCTTGTAATTCTTTACAAGAGCATTAATAACATGCAAATAATTGGTATTATAGTGTTGTTTATACATGAATATTACTTTCGCTGTTATCAGTTTACTAATAGAAAATCTATCAGAAATATTACTATATAATATAATACGAAGTATATAATATGGAAGTTGACAAAAACTATGCATTTATGGCATATAGTCAACCAATTTAAATACATTGGGGCATTTTGACTACCCCCCTGGGGCAATTTGACCAAACCTGGGGCGATTTGACCAAAAATCTGGGGCATTTTGACCAAATTGGCTGGGGCGTTTTGTAGCTGGGGCGATTTGACTGGCACCCGTAACTAGTACACATTAGAGTTACCTCCCTTCCATTGAAAAGCGCCTTACGTAACTAATATAAGCAGACGAAGACTTGTGTATGGTCAGTTTCACATATGCTGCTAAATGCGATTCATTTAACATCACTTGTCATGTATTTAACTTAAACCGACATGGTTGTCGTTGCATTGTTAATTATGTTTCCTTCATTATGTTGATAGTTCGGTAGAGCTATCGCAAGTTGAAGGTTGTCAGCTTGTCGCTGTACATGCTGAGGGAATGTTCAAAGTTCAAAGTCCAAAGTTTATAAGTAATAATATAAAGCATGAACTCCGCTGACCATATATCGGTACATGGCTTGTTGTTTACTATAGCAAGGGTAAACAGTATTTAATTATAGTTTACTGAAATGTTACAATATATTAAATTACAGTTTACTGAACAATTGCAGTTATATATCACCTCAGGGAAAAAAAACATTAATAATAATATGTCGTCTGACCCAGAAACCAAATACCGATATATATTTATCTGTTTACGGTCTCTGTCTGAAAATGTAAATAAAAATGAAAATGATGAAAAGTGAAATTTCTGTGTGCATTTTGGTAAGGAAGTGAGCTCAGTTGAAGAGCAACAGTGAACACGTACAATTTCAGTTAACAAAAGTTGCTTCTCATGGGAGGAGACACGTCTTCAGTGTTCATCCCCTAAAAAACAATGTATGCCCACCTATGGTGCAAACAAAACAAAATTCATTGTTCAGCATAAATCTTGGAATCAAACCTTTGTTCTTTGGATCCTAACAATACTGAAAGGGACATAACTCTAACCAAAGTATTATCTTATACCCAAGACACAACTGGTCTATGTTTGTCCTCACTGGGTGATGAGACAAATTATCTAATTCTTATCACACATGATTACTGTTTGTTTCAGTGGATGCTGAAGTGAAATAATGGCTGATACTTTGCCAGAATGGTTATCCTACACCCCAGAAAACCAGCTTGAGAAGCCAGTGGATACAAAAATCACTGGTAAATTCACAAATAGTCCAAATATCATTTATTACAGAAGTTGTCAGGTACAGTCTCAAATACAGGGATGTTACAATTCATTCATGTATACGGTGAACCGTATCTCCTTATGTACAATCACTAGAAACGAATATGCATGAAAGGTTTAGAAAGGAATGTGGTCACTGGTCACTGTTATAAATTAACACTGTTAACATGAAAAAAGCTAGATTTTATGAATGTCAACTTCTTTATTGTGAATAACATGATGTTTCCAAGTGCATGCTTGCTCCTTCATCACAAGGATGCACTCCAAAATGTCGTGTTATTCACAATAAGGAAGTGATTGGGTGAAACAGTAGACCACGGTATTAGTAGAACCGCAGCATTTTGCCTTCGGTTCGGTATACCGTAATGCAATCCAAAAATTCAGTATTTTCGGATTTCCTATGATCATCCCAATCTAGTCATAAAATGACAGTTTTGTTCATTCAAAATAACAAAGATTATGGCTATTTTTTTCCCATGCTATGAAACAATTTATGGTTTGGCTCAATTTTCTGCATTGTGGTCATATCTCATATACCAAACTGAAACGGACCGAACCGAAGGCCTTGTACTGCAATACATACCATACCGTGGTAAGAGCGTACCATTTGATAGTTGGTATCAATAAATCTTGCTTTTATTATGCATTCCACTTCTAAAGGCCCTCCAAAGATTGACTGTCCACATGGTCAAAACATGTCAGAGAATTCAATTTGTTATTGTTTCAGTAACGTAATGAATAATGCATCAACTGCTGACTTGTTACTGCATTTGTTACCCAATATTAGTGATATGTATCGTATTTACTTCATAGCAGCCCAGATCATTGCAGCCCTGAACGATGGGGTAGCCAAGTGGTTAAAGCGTTCGCTCATCACGCCAAAGACCCAGGTTCGATTCCCCACATGGGTACAATGTGTGAAGCCCATTTCTGGTGTTCTGCGCCGTGATATTGCTGGAATATTGCTAAAAGCGGCGTAAAACTAAACGCACTCACTCACTCATTGCAGCCCTATCCAGTGTTCCCATATTTTAAAACTGGACTGACTCAGTCTCAACTCAGAATATCTTATTTACTAATTTAATTGTATATTGCTTATAGATCATCATTAACAGAATGTGAATCATAAACTCAAAGGGTCAGAACTTATCTGTCTATGAACTCCAATGTTTCAAGAGTTTGTAACCCATTGTCTGCTCATGATCCAGGGAAGATCCCTCAATGGCTGACCGGTACCCTGTACCGGAATGGATCGGGGCTTTTCAAGGTAGGGGAGACAACTGTGGATCACCTATTTGATGGCCTGGCAGTCCTCCACAAGTTCACCGTCAAAGATGGCAAAGTTCAGTATCAGAGCAAGCTCTTGGACTCGGAGACCCTTGCAAAATGTCTGAAGGCAAATAGACTCGTCGTCGGTCAGTTTGCTACAGCTGCCTACCCAGATCCCTGCAAGAGCATCTTTACAAGGTGTGTGTGGATGAAAGAATGTTACCATTGCATGTGTTATTTTTTACTTTACTGAAACAAGTCATCGTAACCCAACTGCATAAATCAATGTACATGATGTTGTTCACTGGTTTGTCGTCCAAGCTTGATTATTTATAGGATGCCGCCATAAAGCTAGAGTGAGTGAGTTTAGTTTTATGCCGCATTCAGCAATATTCCAGCTATAAATAATCTGAACTGGACCAGACGATCCAGGGATCAACAGCATGAACATCAATCTACGCACTTGGGATACGATGACATGTGTCTACCCAATCAGCGAGCCTGACAACCCAATCCTGTCAGTCGCCTCTTACGACAAGCATGGGTTACTGAAGATCAATTCTAACCCAGATCTTCACTGGTCCATATAGTTAAAATATTGCTGAGTGACAATTAAACAAATAATGACAATTTTCTTTTATATTATGTCAGTTGGATACAGTATTGATGTTTCTGAAATACATATGTGAAAGTTCTAAATTCTGAACAAAATGATGCTGTTATTTCCCAATTTCCAAGGTCTAGACACTTAGTTAAGAATTTGAATTGAATCTCCGCAGTCAGACAAGAACTATTGAAGACCAATGCCTCTGTCTATTTTGCTTTTAGGTTTTTCTCCTATTTTACCCCTAAAGACACAGACAACACAGCAGTAAACATCGTTCCCCACGGCGACATGCTTCTTGCGATGACCGAGACATCAACCATCAACATCATTGATCCTGAGACAATCACAAAGAAAGATTCGGTATGCTTTATTCAAGATTAGGCTGATACAAGTTTCTAGGGGAAGGTCAATGACCAGAATGTTTCTCTATAATGGCAAGCTCATTGTTATCCCTCTGGTATGTAATGCGGGAGGATATAGTCGACGCCTCGTCTCTAATAATTTTTTTCCGGAGCATAGCTCAAAAAACGTTCAATTATCAATATCTTTCAACAAAACTTGGTAGATATATCAAACCGAACCTGAAGTGGTGCCTTTTGCTATTTACAGATTTTGGGCATTGCTATTTTTCTTGATTTCCATGGAAAGTTTTGGACTTAGTCGCAAAAGGGAGGTGTGGGTTTCATTTCCGGAGCTCAACTCGAAAACTGTCGAATATCTTACTACAAGACTTGTCAGATATATGAAATAGATCTTCAAGTGGTGCCTTTTGCTATTTGCAGATTTTTGGTATTTATATTTATCATGATTACCATGAAAACGATTTGGACTTAGTTTAAAAAAATCAAGTTCGATTGTTGTTGTGTGTGTGTGTGTGTGGGGATTTATCATCTTCTGATGACTTTTGTTAATAACGGTTATGTTTTACCATAAAAAATTAGTTAAGAGTAATTTGAATGTCGTCAGCATAGAGGTTTACTTTTTGTAGTCAGTTCATCAAAATAGCAATCTAATCACAAAAATATTTCACATCATGTATGAACAGCAAGTGATGCACATGCACAATGGGTGCACCTACAGTGTGTTCCCCACCTTGTGTATACTTCATGATCTTCTCATCACTTTGGGGGGCCGTGAGGTAGCCTAGTAGTTAAATCGTTCGCTCGTCACGCCGAAGATCCTGATTCGATTCCCCACATGGGTACAATGTGTGAAGCCCATTTCTGGTGTGATATTGCTGGAATATTGCTTAAAGCGGCGTAAAACTCATTCCCTCGCTCATCACTTTGGTCACCGAATGTAACAAAATCCTGCACTGACAGAATCGATGCAAGAGCCGCAAAGATGCCATATCTATCTTGATTGGGTGTTGCACAGTTTGACTTGGGAGACTAATATTGAATCCATTGTGTCTATAGAAACGGGTAGATCCACCATAGTACCATGAAATATGGAAAAAAATCCTGGATCAGTTGGGGAAATTTGATGAGTCTAGGTAGTGCAACTGCCATGGATTTGCCACCAGATTTCCATGCTATTTTTAGTAACTGATATGAATTATTATGGATGTGACATAAACAGCAAGACTTGAACCTTTTGTATTTTGCCCGCTCCTACCCAGATACCTCTGGGGCAATATGTAGCAGTACACCTGGCTACGGCTCACCCACACACAGACTTTGACGGAACCATGTACAACCTTGCAACTACATTCAAGCAGAAACAGGCATACAGCATTGTGAAGATACCTCCACAAGAGAAAGGTAGTATTTACCCCAGGCAGTTTCAGCAGGGCACTGCACCCTTCCCTTTTTCTAAGGCACCCTTCCCTTCTGACATAGTTGTTGCAAAATACCTGTCCAAGAAGAACAGAAGAATATGAGACTGAGCTCTTTCAGTGAGGTCTGCAAAGATTTCTGTACACAGAATACAGTAATTAAACTACAGGTATAAGAAATAGGAGGGGGACGGCGTATAAAAATGTGACTTAGTCCTATTATTTCAGATAACTCTTATTAGATTTAAATGCTATTTACCCATGTTTAGGGACTTGTCATTAATTTTGGGAAATATTGGGGAGGTCATAAAAAGATGTTATATAAAATCAATAATATAAAATCTCATCTCCCACCACCATATGTTTATTGACCAGTCCTTCAAATCTACATGACCTTGAATTTGAACCCATTCTAGAGGGAGACAACCCTTTCAAGCGGGCGTCCCTTGTGTCAACCATTCCGTCTCGCTGGAAGGTGAACATTAGCTACAACCACAGCTTCGGGATGTCTGAGAACTACTTTGTGGTCTTGGAACAGACTCTGGTAGCCAACCTGTTGAAGCTTTCCGTAATGAAGCTCGTGGAACTTCATTTGAAAAATGCATGGATATCTATCCCAACGAAAAAGGTAGGAAACTTTATGAGTGAGTGAGTTAGTTGGGTTTTACGCCGCTTTAGCAAAATTCCAGAAATATCATGGCTGGGGACACCGGCTTCACACATTGTACCCATGTGGGCATTGTACCCATGTGGGCAACGAACCCAGGACTTCAGCATGACAAGCAGATGCTTTAACCATAAGGCTACCCTACCACCCCGGAAACTTGTTAAATACCTAATTTGGCACATAGATAGTCTGGTCTGGTGGTGAACTGGTGCCTTTTGGTAGTTTTGCTTTACTTAATAAAATATTTTTTACATTTCCATGGCAACAATTTTGACTGAAATTGGCTTTAGTGCTCTTTTCCGAAGCAGAACTTATAGACCATTCAATGGTTCTACACCAAACTTGGCACATACATAGTTCTGGGGTTGAACTGCTGCCTTTTGGTAGTTTTGGATTTCTGAGTAAAATGTTTGGGTGTTTCCATGGCAACAAATTTTTAAACTTATCCTATCTCATCGACTTGCACCTCTCTCTCTCTTCATTCGACCATGAGTGGAAACAAATTAAACTTTGGTCCAGGCCTACCTTGTCCCTGTCCATGCTGTGCATGCCTTCCTGCCTTAGCCATGCTCACTAGTCCGTGACATCACGAGGCATGCGCAGTCCTCACCCACGTGATCACCTTACATACTCATTCTCTTTCTTGTCGCTCGACAGAGTGGACGTGGAATTTTTTTCGTCTGAGACTTGCTTAACATGTTCAGGCCAGAAAACGAAAGTTTTGCACTCAATGTAATAAAGTCTTTTAGCTTGGGACCCACACACATGTGTGTGTTGATTGTGTGGGTTGTTGTGATTGGGACAAACGCGTCCTAAGTGTTGAGGACTGTCTAATGAGGATTTTAAAGCTTACAAACGTGCTTGTGCCAGACGTTTGGCAGATAGGCCAGGAATGCTTATGCGGGATCTGATCCATCTCCCGCTAAAACAATGTTTACATCGCCCCACCCTACCTGCTCGCGTTCTAAATCTCCGTCTCTCCTGACGAAGATTTTATGGACGCTTCGTCTGATTCCTATTTGTCTGAGAATGTTAAAATGCTTTTGGGACGCTTCCCTCACCTAGCTCAAGCACGCATGGGCATGCAAGGGTGGTAAGGACTGATATTTCCTCTACACAAGACCTGCAATCTACTTTATCTCTTAGATCCGTTTCTTCGACCGCTCACAGTCCTCGAAAACTTCTAAATCCAAACATTCATCATCAAGCATGGATCGACGCTGTTGGAACGTGAATCGTTTCTCCTATTCGCAGACGGTTTCATCCCACTGAAACAATTCACCCACAAAAGTTGAGTCACCATCTGGTTCGGAGGTTCAAATTCGTTCTTCTACTGCTGGGAAGTGTTGTTCTAGATCTCGTTCACGCCGAAGCTCGTTGTCCTTCCAATGTACCAGTCCAAACCGATTCACCACCTCGATTCATTTCACCAGTCAGAATTGGGTCTAATGCCAGTGTTGGTTCACTAGAACGGAACCATTCACCTAGCCACTTCATTGCCAAGGGTCGAACAAGTTCACTCAGCTGAGCCGGCTCACAAAACTGAACTGATTCCGCGAATCGAATGGATTCACCAGGACGAACCAGTTCACATTCCCGAATCAATTCACCTCAACATATGTTTCAGTTCGACTCACCATCTCATAGTCGAATCAATTCACCACAGCGTTTTGATTCACCTAGTCGCTCAGTCTCACCTAGTGAAGTGGTTCGCCATTTCAATCCGGTTCACCTAGCCGCACGGTGTCTTTTCGATCAGATTGATTCTCGTAGTCAGTCTCATTCACCTCAGGTGAATCAGGATATCCCGCCTAGTCAGTCTAGGGCTAGTGAGCACTTGCAGTCAGCCTTTACGTGATAGATCCCTCATCAACATCGTTCTGTGTGGGTGGTTTCACCTGCTAGGGCAGCGTTATGGTTCAGTGTATCGGCGTTAACCTTCACGCCATGCCTCTTCTACTTTGCCTCGGTCACAGGTTATTGCTGAGTCTTGGAATCCTGCGCTTGATTCCTCTCCAGCACCAGATTTAGACACCATGCTTCGTGCTGTTACATCGGCTTGGATTCCGTGTCATTCGTTCTCACATGTTCAACAATCGTCTGCCATACTTAGCAATAATCATCCTGTGGATTCGAGGGATCTGACTCGGTCTCAGACTCCTTTACCTTCACCTGGGCAGTTGGACATCTCCACTCCTGATGGCAGTTTTGATGTTGTTGAACCGGCTCACGTGTTAGCCTGGATAGTTGAAAAACTTCAGCTACCTCTTAGTAAATCTCCAGATGATTTGGCCATGTCTTATGCCATGACAAATAGAGATATTTCCAGTATCACACTTCCTTTGCGTCCATGTATTCAACAATTACCTTCTTCTCTTGATGCGCCTTTCAAGAAGCTTAGGAGGACGAAGGATGGTTTGTCATCTCCAAGGTTCCGACGATCGACGGCACATACTCATGGTGTTCAACTTTGGTCAGCGGCATGTGATGATGACATTTCCATGGTTTGTGGCAAGTGTTCCAGTTCGGCGTTTTTGTGGAAGACAGGAATTGGCTCATCTTGATGCTGCGATTCGCATTCTATCCCTTCCATTAGTTGTATCATTTCGCTGTTGACGCTGTGGCGGGCGGCTGTCAATCATGCCTATACAGACCAGGATGCGTACATTAGAGGAAAAGTATGGCTCTGATATTAGATCAATTCCAGGTGGTCTTGGGGCAACTTTCTCATTTCTTTGGCTATCTACTTGCCATAATGCATCGCCCGGGCCCTTTGAATTTATCCTCATGGGAAGAAAGATTTCAAGGCTGAATTGTTTCTAAGGTACCATGGTCGGGGATCCAGTGTTCAGTGAGTTCATTGCAGAAGTCGATCCAAGGTGGACCGCCTTAATCAGTTTCAAGTATCTGTAGATCTGTTGGAGTTGCAAAATATTCAACTTCAAGACTCTATCGCGCACCGTCGAACCCCACACTTTACCCCTTCCAATCCAGACCTTCGTGACTGTTTGAAAGACCAGGCATCTTCTCAAGCACGAGGCAGGGGCAGGAAGCCTTTTTCGCGGTTTCCACAGCCACGCCGCCCTTTAGACCCGGTGCTGGCACTGGAAGTAGAAACTCCAAACAGTGACTCATGGAAATCAGAGCTCGGATTGGTTCTGCTGGATCCGATGGTTCCGGTGTTCGATTCCCCTGTAGGCGGGAGGTTAGGTCTGTTTGCTGCCAACTGGGAGTTTCTAGGGGATCCATTTGTCACAATGACTCTCATTCACGGCTATTGAATGCCTGTTGTCGGGAACCACCCTCACCATTCAACCTTTGCAGCGAACATATCCTCAGGATCAGGCTGCAGTCCTTTCGGCCCACAATCTCAACTCTACTGGAGAAACATGCCGAGAACGCCTCGATCCGGTGTGCATAACTCCAGGGTTTTACTCCCTGATATTTCTTGTGCCAAAGAAAAACTCAAGCAAACTCCGCGCCTCATTTTCAATATGAAGGCATTCAACACTCGTTTCCTTCAACCGCCACCTCATTTTCGAATGGTATCAGTCAGTCTTCTACGCTCAATTCTGAGGAAAGGGGAGTTCATCATATCCCTCGATCTTCAAGACGCATCCCTTCACATTCCGATTTAGCCAGATCATCGGAAGTACCTGAGGTACACCTTCGAGGGCAATCACTTCCAATGGAAAGTCCTTCCATTTGGAATCTCTACGGCCCCGTGGCTTTTTACTCGGGTGACCAAACCCATCAGCAGTTTCCTTCACGCTCAGGGAGTGACTTCCGAAAGCTATATAGACGATTGTATTCAGGCACAGCAGGATCTAATCGTTCTTCAAATTCATCGGGAGTTCACGATCAAGCTGCTCAAACAGTTAGGGTGGCTCCTAAATTGTGAAAAGTCGGAGTTAACACCGACTCACAGACTTCAGTTCATAGGAGCAGTTTTCGACACAGAACAAGCCATGTTGTTTGTTCCCAAGGACAGGTGGACCAAAATTCAGCGTCTGGTTCCTCTAGTCTGGATCACCCCAGAACTCTACGCTAGTGGCAAGAGTTGCTGGGCATATTAACGTCAGCTCAGGCTTTGACTTACAGAGGTGTGCAGCTTCACCCGCTTCAGTTATTTCTGCGACCTCATCTTCAAGCCAACAACCCTCAGGAGTTGATTCGGTTACCCAGGAACTGCGCCCAATTCTGAGTTGGTGGCTCAACGACAGAATGTTTGCGCGGGCGTCTCTTTGGTGCCCTTCAGTCCAACCCATCAGTTGTTTGTGGACACTTCTCTCGGTTGTTGGAAGCCCACTTCCTTCAGCATCAAGTGGCAGGGCAGTGGTTGTCCGAAGAAAAGTCACTCCACATAAACATTCTGGAGTTCAAGGCAGTATTACTAGCAATTCAGCACTGGGCGGCTCTACTCTCAAGATGCCTCACCTGCTGATACAGTCCGGACAACTCGACAGTAGTGTGGTACATAAATCACCTAGGGTCGACGGGTTCAGCAGCACTTCTACAGTGGACGTTTTGATTTTATCTCCTGATAGACTCTCTCAACATCATAACAAGAGCCAGGCACATCCTCGAACAAAGAACGTGGATTGCCGAGGCTCTGTCTTGTTCCAGTCAGCCGTCGCCCTACAGAGTGGCAACTCCTGCCCAAGATTTTTCGATGATAATTTACCCACTCTCTCGACCAAGTGTCAACCTGTTTGCTACTCGGGTTCAACACCCAACTGCCGAGATTCGTGTCTCCAATACCGGATCCACTAGCTTGGGATCACGACGCCTTTAGCCATTCCCAGGGAGGTCTCAACGCGATATGCATTTCACGCCCGGCTCTGCTTCACAAGGTCAATACGCGATACCTTCACATTCGATTCAGCCAGATCATCGGAAGTACCTGAGGTACACTTCGAGGGCAATCACTTCCTACATGGCTTCTTAAGAACTCTCTGGATACCTTTTTCAAACCCTTACTTTCCTCATCAGCTGTGTCTTCATTTCTCACCATTGAAGAGTGTGTCAGCTGCATCAAAATCTGGATGTCGTCACACTACCTCAAACTGAATGATGATAAAACTGAACTCATAGTTTTCCACCCTAAGCGCTTCCAACCCAGTATCTCTTCCTAAATTCAGCATCGGTCAGTGTGAGATTCAGCCAAACCATGAAGTGCTAAACTTGGGAGTTATTTTTATTCTTCACTGTCCATGGAGCCACCACATCAATAACATCTGTAGAAGGGCTGTACTACCACATTCGCAACATCGGCATGATTCGACGATACCTGGACGCCAAGACTACAGCATCTCTTACTCAGGCATATGTAACATCTCGTCTTGACTACTGTAATGCGCTCTTGTGGGCCTCCCAAATTATCTTATACACAAGCTTCAGAAGGTGCAGAATACTGCAGCCAGAGTGGTCTCTGTCAAAGAAATCAGACCACATTACTCCCGCTTCTTCACTCACTTCATTGGCTTCCCCGTCCACTACCGTGATAAAATATAAAACTCTACTCCTTGTTTTCAAAAGTTTACATGGTCTAGCTCCTCAGTACCTCTGTGCTCTGTTCCACCGTTATACTCCTGTATCGCTCCCCTCGATCAAATGACCAGTGTCTTTTGACAATTCCTGTGACTAGGACAAAACATACGGTGACAGGTCACTTTCGAGACGACTGGCCCTCATCTCTGGAACAATCTTCCATCTCACCTCAGAACACAACCAGACTTAGCTGTGTTTAAATCAAATCTGAAGACGTGTCTCTTTGCTGAAGCATTTGAACTCTATGTGATATCTAGACCATCTTAAAGCCAGAGCCTTTGAGCGGATTACGGATATTGGCTTATACAAGTATTTTTGTATGTATGTATGTATGTATGTCATTCAGAAAATTCTGTTAACCAACAAAGTGCAACTGCTTTTGGTAGCGCCCTTCTTCGACAGAAGCTGGTTTCGTCGGACTAAAAAAGTCTAGTCAGTCGAAGCAGTATTCTTCTCTTCGCGTCGGGACGACCTACTAGTTCATCCGCTTTCGGGCGTGTATCACGAGTCACCACAGACGTTCAATCTTCATGTATGGCACATTTGTATGGTTTCGACGGTACGGAACTGCAGTACTTGCTTCGATCTTTTAAGCTAGCCGACCAATCCAGGAAATTTCGCCCACCAGCTTGGGACTTATCGTGGTCCTTCGCCACTTAGTGTCCGAGCATTATGAACCCTTACAGGACAAGGAATTTGAACAGGTTTCGCTTCAAGACCTTTTTCTTATTGCCTTGGCCACGGGCGCACGAAAGTATCAGAACTTCATGCTCTAGATGTCAATCGTGTCCGTTTTGAACAGGGTAGACATGGCAAGGTATTTTTGGGATCGCTGGGAGTTTGTCGGCTCAAACCCAGCTGCCGGGTCAACCTGATCGCTTTTTTACAATCCCACCTTTGTCTACTATTTTGGGTCCAGAAGATGTCGAGGATCTGTCTCTGTCCAGTTAGAGCGCTTCGCATTTTCCTTAAAGCATCGCAAGAGGCGCTTCGCTTAAATGAGAGACTGTTTATACCCTTGTCTACTGCTTCCATACGGAAGTCTCTCAAGACAACTCTCTCATATTGGCTACTGAAGCTTCAATACTCTGAGCCCACGCTTTGCCGGTTTACGCCGCCCACGCATCCAACCCTCATGAAACCAGGGCATTGGCTTCTACTATGGCGTTGTATAGTAACTGCTTGTTAACTGCTATAATGGAGGGTTGTTTTTGGCGCTCTGACACTGTATTTTCGCCTCATTACTTCAGAGATGTGTCGGTGACGGATATTCAAGGCCTTCATCAGTTTGGACCACTCATCCTTGCCCAACAGTTGTCAGCGGCACAACATCGCAGATAATGAACTTCCTTTGTGCTACGATGCTATATGGATACCCATTAGCGCAGATGATCACCAGTCGCATCGCTTCTGCTTGTGTACAATCTGAATAAATCTGAAACTTATTTCTGTTTTGGCGTCTTTGATTCTTCCGGGTTTAGATTTCTGCTCTCATTTTGTTTTGAGGCTCTGAAGAGTCACCACCTCACTGTCCTCTGCTCCACGGAGTAATTACGCCAGTGAAGTGAGTCCTTCGAAGTGTTGTTACACTTTGTGAGCGTTCATGCTCCTAAGTGCCTATACACATCTATGTGGATCTTACTGTGGTAAGTAGTGGAAGTCATAAGATGATGTTGTGGTACTGAATGTTAAAATTGTGAGTTTTTCTGATTCAATTACCCTTTCACCCTCCACGGGACGGTGTCTGTGGGGGTTGTTTCGAAGCAGGGTCTGGCCTAATACTAGTCGTTCGACTTTTATTACGGGGGTACCTTGGAAAACTTGTGCTTAGTAAGTCAATGGGTTCGAACAAACCCTCACATGTAACTTTGGTAGTTATTGGCCTGCCTTGTAGTTGCTTCCTCACGGTTGTTTCGCATAACGCTTAGCTGTTATCACTTGAACTTCGGTAATCTATGACCCACCTTCATACCATGGGATAAGTGCAAAGTAGTGAGATAGTATAAGTTTAAATTTTGGAAAATTTAACTATAAATTGTATATTTATATACTTATCCTATCTCACACGATGAAGTCCCTCCCTACCTCCCCACTACTAAGATTACCACCGTTCCGGTTTTGTCCTTTTATGGCTCCAAGATTGAGAATGAGTATGTAAGGTGATCACGTGGGTTTAGGATCAAGCGATGCCTCATGCTGTCACGGGACTAGTGAGCATGGCTAAGGCAGGAAGGCATGCACAGCACGGGGACAGGGACAAGGTAGGCCTGGAGCAAAGTTTAATTCGTTTCCACTCATGGTCGAATGAAAAGAGAGAGGTGCAAGTCGTGAGATAGGATAAGTATATAAATATACAATTTAAAGTTAAAATTTCCAATTTTTACTTTGACTGTAATTGGTGGTAGAGCTCTTTACTGGTGCAGAACTTTAAAATCTTTTAATACTCTCCTTCCACATTGTGGGTATTCAAGATCCTAATGAACACTCAGGGAGTTGATATTTAATTTAAACTGAGAGAATTGTTCATTGAACTTTCTTAATTTCAGTCTTTGATTCATCTCACTCTATTTCGGATGGAGAGAGATGGTCACAACTCGGTACACTACGGATTCCTTCTTCTGCTTTCACTTCATAAACTGCTATGAGGAAAACGGCCATGTTGTCATCGACCTTTGTGGTTACGTGAGAGCTGAAACTGTGCGTGACCTTTACCTTGATTCAGTCAAGCACATTGGGTTAAACAAGTGGGCAAACCCCCAAGTGAGACGCTACGTCCTGCCACTTGATGTTGAGAAGGTAAATGCCTGATATCAGTCCTGACAATTTGAAACACAATGTGGAGGAGTTATTCTTGTTGCAGAGCTGTATTGATCATCTATTTCTTTACCTGAAACCGAGAAGTACTATTATGAAATAGTAAGTAAAGAAAAGTATCAAGATTGCAATCCCATTTAACAATTCTCAACCTCATCTTGAAGGTCTTATTGCATGTTCACAAGTAGGCTGAATATATGTTTTAAATACTGACTTATTTTATGTACATACTTGTATTTCTTTTCACTTTCAAATGCATTAATGTACCTGTCCAGTGTCATTTTCTGGTGCCTCCATATTAATATATGTAAACTAAGTGAAAACCCCAGGGTTTAGTGTCCATAGCTTTTGTCAATATGTATATGTAATCAACACCATCATGACAGTTCTGATTTGTTATGTATGTACCAGGTATCTTTAAGTGGGAGGCCTTAAGTACCAAGTATCTTTAGGTACCCAATATCTTTAAGTGGGAGGCTTTAAGTACCAAATATCTTTAGGTACCCAATATCTTTAAGTGGGAGGCCTTAAGTACCCAGTATCTTTAAGTGGAAGGCCTTAAGTACCCAGTATCGTAAAGTACATAGTATCTTTAAATGGAAAGCCTTAAATACCCAGTATCTTTAAGTGGGAGGCCTTAAGTACCCAGTATATTTAAGTGGGAGGGATTAAGTTCCCAGCATCTTTAAGTAGGAGGCCTTAAGTACCAAGTATCTTTAAGTGGAAGGGATTAAGTTCCCAGCATCTTTAAGTGGGAGGCCATAAGAACCAAGTATCTTTAAGTGGGAGGCCTTAAGTACCCAGTATCTTTAAGTGGAAGGGATTAAGTTCCCAGTATCTTTAAGTGGGAGGCCTTAAGTACCCAGTGTCTTTAAATGGAAGGGATTAAGCTCCCAATATCTTTAAGTGGGAGGCTTTAAGTACCAAATATCTTTAGGTACCCAATATCTTTAAGTGGGAGGCCTTAAGTACCCAGTATCTTTAAGTGGAAGGCCTTAAGTACCCAGTATCGTAAAGTACATAGTATCTTTAAATGGAAAGCCTTAAATACCCAGTATCTTTAAGTGGGAGGCCTTAAGTACCCAGTATATTTAAGTGGGAGGGATTAAGTTCCCAGCATCTTTAAGTAGGAGGCATTAAGTGCCTAATATCTTTAAGTATCCAGTATCTTTAAGTGGGAGGCCTTAAGTACCAAGTATCTTTAAGTGGGAGGCCTTAAGTACCCAGTATCTGTAAGTGGGGGGCCTTAGGTACCCAGTATCTTTAAGTGGGCGGCTTAAGTACCCAGTATCTTTAAGTGGGAGGCCTTAAGTACCCAGCATTTTTAAGTGGGGGGCCTTAAGTACCCAATATCTTTAAGTGGAAGGAATTAAGTTCCCAGTATCTTAAGTGGGACGATTAAGTACCAAGTAAGTGGGAGGCCTTAAGTGCCCAGTATCTTTAAGTGGGAGGCATTAAGTGCCCAGTATCTTTAAGAACCCAGTTTTTTAAGTGGAATGAATTAAGTTCCCAGTATCTGTAAGTGGAAGGGATTAAGTGCACACTGTCTTTAAGTAGACGGGATGAAGTTCCCAGTATCTTAAGTGGGAGGCCTTAAGTACCCAGTATTGTTAAGTGGGAGGCATTAAGTGCCCAGTATCTTTAACTACCCAGTATCTTCATTTGGCGGGAGGCCTTAAGTACCAAGTATCTTTTTATACCCAGTATCTTTAAGTGGGAAGCCTTAAGTACCAAGTATCTTTAAGTGGGAGGCCTTAAGCACCCAGTATCTTTAAGTGGAAGGGATTAAGTACCCAGTATCTTTGAGTGGGAGCCTTATAGTACCCAGTATCTTTAAGTGGGGAGGCCTTAAGCACCCAGTATCCTTAAGTACCCAGTATCTTTAAATGGAAAGCCTTAAGTACCCAGTATCTTGGCACCCAATATCTTTAAATGGAAAGCCTTGGCACCCAGTATCTTTAAGTGGGAGGCCTTATACCAAGTATCTTTTAAAGGCCTTAAGTACCCAGTATCTTTAAGTGGAAGGGATTAACCTCCCAGCATCTATAAGTGGGAGGCCTTTAAGTACCCAGTATCTCTTTAAGTGGGAGGGATTAAGTTCCCAGCATCTTTAAGTGGGAGGTATTATGCCTAGTATGTTTAAGTATCCAGTATCTTTTAAGTGGGAGGCCTTAAGTACCAAGTATCTTTAAGTGGGAGGCCTTAAGTACCCAGTATCTTTAAGTGGGAGGCCTTAAGTACCCAGTATCTTTAAGTTGGAGGCCTTAAGTACCCGGTATCTTTAAGTGGGAGGCCTTATGTACCCAGTATCTTTAAGTGGGAGGCCTTAAGTACCCAGTATCTTTAAGTGGGAGGCCTTAGGTACCCAGTATCTTTAAGTGGGAGGCCTTAAGTACCCAGTATCTTTAAGTGGAAGGAATTAAGTTCCCAGTATCTTTAAGTGGGAGGTATTAAGTACCAAGTAAGTGGGAGGCCTTAAGTGCCCAGTATCTTTAAGTGGGAGGCCTTAGGTACCCAGTATCTTTAAGGGGAGGCATTAAGTGCCCAGTATCTTTAAGTACCCAGTATCTTTCAGTGGAATGGATTAAGTTCCCAGTATCTTTAAGTGGAAGGAATTAAGTTCCCAGTATCTTTAAGTGGGAGGTATTAAGTACCAAGTAAGTGGGAGGCCTTAAGTGCCCAGTATCTTTAAGTGGGAGGCCTTAAGTACCCAGTATCTTTAAGTTGGAGGCATTAAGTGCCCAGTATCTTTAAGTACCCAGTATCTTTAAGTGGAATGGATTGAGTTCCCCATATCTGTAAGTGGAAGGGATTAAGTGCACACTGTCTTTAAGTAGACGGGATGAAGTTCCCAGTATCTTTAAGTGGGAGGCCTTAAATACCCATTATCTTTAAGTGGGGGGCCTTAAGTACCCAATATCTTTAAGTGGAAGGAATTAAGTTCCCAGTATCTTTAAGTGGGACGTATTAAGTACCAAGTAAGTGGGAGGCCTTAAGTGCCCAGTATCTTTAAGTGGGAGGCATTAAGTGCCCAGTATCTTTAAGAACCCAGTTTTTTAAGTGGAATGAATTAAGTTCCCAGTATCTGTAAGTGGAAGGGATTAAGTGCACACTGTCTTTAAGTAGACGGGATGAAGTTCCCAGTATCTTTAAGTGGGAGGCCTTAAGTACCCAGTATTGTTAAGTGGGAGGCATTAAGTGCCCAGTATCTTTAACTACCCAGTATCTTTACGTGGGAGGCCTTAAGTACCAAGTATCTTTAGGTACCCAGTATCTTTAAGTGGGAAGCCTTAAGTACCAAGTATCTTTAAGTGGGAGGCCTTAAGTACCCAGTATCTTTAAGTGGAAGGGATTAAGTACCCAGTATCTTTAAGTGGGAGGCCTTAAGTACCCAGTATCTTTAAGTGGGAGGCCTTAAGTACCCAGTATCCTTAAGTACCCAGTATCTTTAAATGGAAAGCCTTAAGTACCCAGTATCTTTAAGTACCCAATATCTTTAAATGGAAAGCCTTAAGTACCCAGTATCTTTAAGTGGGAGGCCTTAAGTACCAAGTATCTTTAAAGGCCTTAAGTACCCAGTATCTTTAAGTGGAAGGGATTAACCTCCCAGCATCTATAAGTGGGAGGCCTTAAGTACCCAGTATCTTTAAGTGGGAGGGATTAAGTTCCCAGCATCTTTAAGTGGGAGGTATTAAGTGCCTAGTATGTTTAAGTATCCAGTATCTTTAAGTGGGAGGCCTTAAGTACCAAGTATCTTTAAAGTGGGAGGCCTTAAAGTACCCAGTATCTTTAAGTGGGAGGCCTTAAGTACCCAGTATCTTTAAGTTGGAGGCCTTAAGTACCGTGCATCTTTAAGTGGGAGGCCTTATGTACCCAGTATCTTTAAGTGGGAGGCCTTAAAGTACCCAGTATCTTTAAGTGGGAGGCCTTAGGTACCCAGTATCTTTCAGGGTGGGAGGCCTTAAGTACCCAGTATCTTTAAGTGGAAGGAATTAAGTTCCCAGTATCTTTTAAGTGGGAGGTATTAATACCAAGTAAGTGGGGAGGCCTTAAGTGCCCAGTATCTTTAAGTGGGAGGCCTTAAGTACCCAGTATCTTTAAGGGGGAGGCATTAAGTGCCCAGTATCTTTAAGTACCCAGTATCTTTCAGTGGAATGGATTAAGTTCCCAGTATCTTTAAGTGGGAGGTATTAAGTACCAAGTAAGTGGGAGGCCTTAAGTGCCCAGTATCTTTAAGTGGGAGGCCTTAAGTACCCAGTATCTTTAAGTTGGAGGCATTAAGTGCCCAGTATCTTTAAGTACCCAGTATCTTTAAGTGGAATGGATTGAGTTCCCCATATCTGTAAGTGGAAGGGATTAAGTGCACACTGTCTTTAAGTAGACGGGATGAAGTTCCCAGTATCTTTAAGTGGGAGGCCTTAAATACCCATTATCTTTAAGTGGGAGGTATTAAGTACCAAGTATCTTTAAGTGGGAGGCCTTAAGTACCCAGTATCTTTAAGTGGGAGGCATTAAGTGCCCAGTATCTTTAACTACCCAGTGTCTTTAAGTGGAGGCCTTATGATTGAAATTGTTTACATGAACATGAAGTGGCTCAGGGTTTCAAGTGAGTTCATCTTTTCGGATATTGGTTATCATATCAGAAGAAGAAGTCTCTCATTAATGTATCCTTTTGCAATTTTCTCTCCAGCAAGCACACTGTATCCATATGAACTCCATAAAGTGCTGCTTAATGAATTGAGTGGCTGGGCATGCTGACTTAATTGATGCGTGTCACTGTATCCCAGTTGTGTAGATGAATGCTTATGATGTCAATCTCCGGATTCTCAATTAATAGTCTTTCTTCCATAACGGGACTGTTGGTATATGTGATGACTGAATCAAGTTGTATAAATTGTTTGTGACTCCCCCACACAGGCAGAGAGCGGCAAGAACCTGGTGACTCTGGCAGACACATCGGCTACAGCAGTCAAACAGCCTGACGGCTCCATCTACTGCAGCCCAGACTACATTACAGGAGGTGGGTGACATTTTACTGAGAACTTGCTGTGGGAATCGAGCATTGTTGACACATGACAAACTCATGGTGATCAGTAACACTTCATTTAAAAACAAATTCATATTCTGTGTGGAGAAAGTCTGGTGGATGACTGGTGGTTTTAGCTTTGCGACTGGCACATGGGTTGTTGTCTCCCAATAGCATGCAAGTTAAGCAGTGAAGTCTTAAGAAATAATTCAACCAAAATTAAAGTTCATATCTGTTCACCATACTTACAAGAACCCAGGAAATAATTCTAATGGCACTATTTACATCAGTATGTCCTAATTTGACATGGTTTAGTCCTTATTTAACATGGTTTAGTTCTTATTTGACATGGTTTAGTCCTTATTTGACATGGTTTAGTCCTTTTATTTGAGTTCACGGTTTAGTCCATATTTATTTCATGGTTTAGTCCTTATTTGACATGGTTTAGTCTCTTATTTGAGATATGGTTTAGTCCTTATTTGACATGGTTTAGGTCTTATTTGACATGGTTTAGTCCTTATTTGTCCTTATTTGACATGGTTTAGTCCTTATTTGGACATGGTTTAGTCCATTTTATTTGACATGGTTTAGTCCTTATTTGACATGGTTTAGTCCTTATTTGACATGGTTTAGTCCTTATTTGACATGGTTTAGTTCATATTTATTTGACATGGTTAAGTGTCCTTATTTGGACATGGTTTAGTCCTTATTTGACATGGTTTAGTCCTTATTTGACATGGTTTGAGTCCTGTCCATATTTGACATGGTTTAGTCCAATTTTATTTGACATGGTTTTAGTCCTTATTTGACATGGTTTAGTCCTTATTTGACATGGTTTAGTCCTTATTTGACATGGTTTAGTCCTTATTTGACATGGTTTAGTCCTTATTTGACATGGTTTAGTCCTTATTTGACATGGTTTAGTCCTTATTTGACATGGTTTAGTTCTTATTTGACATGGTTTAGTCCTTATTTGACATGGTTTAGTTCTTATTTGACATGGGTTGACAGTTTTCCATATTTATTTGACATGGTTTAGTTCTTATTTGACATGGTTTAGTCTTATTATTTGACATGGTTTAGTCCTTATTTGACATGGTTTAGTCCTTATTTGACATGGTTTAGTCCCTATTTATTTGACATGGTTTAGTCCTTATTTGACATGGTTTTAGTCCTTATTTGACATGGTTTAGTCCTTATTTGACATGGTTTAGTCCTTATTTGACATGGTTTAGTCCTTATTTGACATGGTTTAGTGCTTATTTGACATGGTTTAGTCCTTATTTGACATGGTTTAGTCCTTATTTGACATGGTTTAGTCCTTTTTTGACATGGTTTAGTCCTTATTTGACATGGTTTAGTCCATATTTGACATGGTTTAGTCCTTATTTATTTGACATGGTTTAGTCCTTATTTGACATGGTTTAGTTCTTATTTGACATGGTTTAGTCCTTATTTGACAGGGTTTAGTTCTTATTTGACATGGTTTAGTCATTTTTTTACTTTACACATTTTGTGCAGTGGTGCCCAGATTTGGCACCGTGAGACACAGCCACCGACAGCATGGCTGCTCAATGTCAAAGCATAACCAACAATATATAAGTTCAAGTTATACAAGTGGGGTGTTCACACAAATGTTTCAGTCTTTTGGAGTTGTCCGAACCAGCATGGGTCATGATCATCACTGGTTCGTCTGGTCCAGACACAGACACTGGTGTGATATTGGCTTGCAGGAATACTGGTACAGACAAGATTGTAACAGACTGTGTATACTGGATAATGCTGCTTAAAACACATTCACCCACTTACGTAATGATGAACACATTCCGACATTTCCACTTCAGACTGACTGCATGTAAGGAAAATGTATTCACCCTCTGCATGTGAATGTATTTTTAGATTCATCCAATGCTGTTCTCATGGAACTTCCAAGAATCAACTACGCCTACAACACGAAGAAATACAGATATGTTTATGGAACTGACTTTCTGGTTGAAAAAGCCAAGGTTGAGTTTATACTTGAATACAATTTCTACAAGTTGAAAAATGCTTTGAAGTTAGAGTTTACCATAAAGAAATTTGGAGGATGTGGTTTAGAAAAGGCCTTATAATTTACCAGTGAGTGAGTTTAGTTTTGACGCCGCTTTAAGCAATATTATAGGAATATCATGGTGGGGGACAACAGAATGGGCTTCACACATTGTACCCATTTGGGGAATCGAGCCTGGGTCTTCGGCATGACAAGCTTAATGCTTTAACCACTACGCTACCCTCACCCCTTAAAAATTACTCAAAACCCCATTTCATGATCTCATGAAAAATTCCCCTCCCCTCACAAACACACACAAAAGACCACCTGTGTCTTTCTAAAGTTTCAAATCTTTTTCTCTGAGTTCTTAAGAATGACAGAATTCATAAGAAAGAGGAATTAGACTACTACATTAAGTTTGGCAGATGGAACCTTGAAAAAAGACTTGAATTTTCCTTAATGAAGGAGAAAGAAGCACTCTCTGTCTAGCTCTGAGGACCTGCCGGTTGTGGGTTAAAATCCCTGTCTCAGCTTACTTGTAATCCTTGGTGAGAGTTAAGCCCATCTTCTGTTGTCGAGGGAATATTTTTTTTCATTCCTTATGCTATTTACACTGGACTTATTGGGCAAAGTATTTCATCTCTAGCTTATCTCTCTGATCAATAACTGTATTGTCAGAAAACAAAATACATGACATACACATGGTTCTCATGGCATTAACAGCCCTGTTGCAGTGTTATGTGTGGTATCATACTGAGTTGAGAGTTGTACGTTTACATATGAGGGTTAAAACAGCATTCTGGTATCGCTTTGTTCGTCATCCTTGCTAGTTATCGTCAGACACGGATGTTGTTTTCATCCATTGCCATGTAATTATCCCCGGGGGCGGTGGGGTAGCCTACTGGTTAAAGCGTTCGCTCATCACGCCAAAGACCTTGGTTCAATTCCCTACAATACAAAATGTGAAGCCCATATTCATATTATCAACTTTGGGTAAACTGTGTGAAACAGAAACACTATTGAAGTGACATGAACAAGGTTTGCATGCTTACTGAAGTGATAATTATGAAGCCTGAGTTTCGATAGTGGTTCCATAAATTATCTTTTCAGAGTTACCTTCCCCTGCTACATATTTTTGTATCTTGAGCTTACAGTCACAGACTCAGAAACTACTGTTACATGAAATTACACAAGAGTTTTTCTTAAGAGCTCAGAATTTGGTCTATTCGTTTCCAGAGAAGGGACCACTTGTATGTAATTATTTCACATTTACTTGCAACCCTTGTGCTTGTCTCTATAATTTCCCGAAGTTACTGTATACTTCTAATCAATCATTACTAAATGAACAAACATAATTCTAATGTGCCTATTGGCTGGAGAAAGTGATAATGCTGTTTTCTTGTTTCTTGAGAGAATGAGCTAAAATACATAATCCTGGAAGCAATTTGCATTTGGATGTCACATTAATATTTTTTTGAAAGCCTATCATTAACTAAAAGAGTGGGCATGGTTTTCTGTCTGCTTTTAGCAACAAAACAGCCAATATCATGAATATGCTACGAATGAGCTGAACACATTGTTTCCATACAGGATTTGAACCATGGATGTCAGCATACGATTCAATGTCTTTTACCGCTTGGCTGCCTATCCCTTCTCACATCACCCTATGAGACGGGTTTGAGTACATTTAATGTGTCCTATCATCTATCATCTATGCTTAGCATGTTTGGTAGTTTTCCTAATGTGGAGAGGGCGGTTGGGTAGCCCAGTGGTTAAAGCGTTCTCTGGTCACGCCGAAGACCCGGGTATGATTCCCCACATGGGTACAATGTGTGAAGCCCATTTCTGGTGTCCTCTGCCGTAAAAGCAGTGTAAAACCATACTCCCTCACTCCTAATGTGGAGTGCCCTCTGCTCCCAGTCCTGGGTCCCGTGAAGATCCGCGTTTTAATCGATCTTCAGCAACCAATACTTGTTGTAAGAGGTGACCAATGGGATCAGGTGGTCCGACTCGCTGACTTGTTGACACATGTCATCATATCCCAATTGCATAGATGGATGACAACAAACCAATAGTGATTGTTCACATCAGCTAAAGTTTGTCGTTATTTCAGCTGACCAAGCTGGACCTGAAGACCAAGACCTGTATTCACTGGGCAGCTGAGGACCTGGATCAGCCTGGGGAACCAGTCTTCATTGCTCGTCCTGATGGTACGGAGGAGGATGACGGTATGTGCTGTGTAGGGTCCTTGGGTTGTCCTTGATGGTATGTGCTGTATAGGGTCCTTGGGTTGTCCTTGATGGTATGTGCTGTGTAGGGTCCGTGGGTTGTCCTCTTGTATCTGTGTGGCAGTTACAGGTCTTTTTAAGTCCTATGTTGATGGATGAGACTGTTTAACATTGCATTCTTCCTAACTACTAATTCTTTAAAGTTGTATATGTTTTGGATGTCTGTCTTGTCCTGATCTGTTGATGATGTTCATTGTGGTTTTTGTTCCTAGTGTCTTTCTGTCTATTGAAGCTTCTCTGCGTCTTGCCTGTCTTTTAAGTCTTCCGTATGTCTATGTATTTGCCTCTCCATCTTTTAGTTCTGTATGTCTATGTCCTTGCCTCTCCATCTTTTAGTTCTGTATGTCTATGTCCTTGCCTCTCCATCTTTTAGTTCTGTATGTCTATGTCCTTGCCTCTCCATCTTTTAGTTCTGTATGTCTATGTCCTTGCCTCTCAGTCTTTTAGTTCTGTATGTCTATGTCCTTGCCTCTCAGTCTTTTAGTTCTGTATGTCCTTCCTTGCCCTCTCTATGTCTGTATGTTGCCTCTCCGCCTTTTAGTTCTGTATGTCTATGTCCTTGCCTCTTCATCTTTTAGTTCTGTATGTCTATGTCCTTGCCTCTCCGTCTTTTAGTTCTGTATGTCTATGTCCTTGCCTCTCCGTCTTTTAGTTCTGTATGTCTATGTCCTTGCCTCTCCATCTTTTAGTTCTGTATGTCTATGTCCTTGCCTCTCCGTCTTTTAGTTCTGTATGTCTATGTCCTTGCCTCTTCATCTTTTAGTTCTGTATGTCTATGTCCTTGCCTCTCAGTCTTTTAGTTCTGTATGTCTATGTCCTTGCCTCTCCGTCTTTTAGTTCTGTATGTCTATGTCCTTGCCTCTCTTCATCTTTTAGTTCTGTATGTCTGTCCTTGCCTCTCTCAGTCTTTTAGTTCTGTATGTCTATGTCCTTGCCTCTCCGTCTTTTAGTTCTGTATGTCTATGTCCTTGCCTCTCAGTCTTTTAGTTCTGTATGTCTATGTCCTTGCCTCTCCGTCCTTTAGTTCTGTATGTCTATGTCCTTGCCTCTCAGTCTTTTAGTTCTGTATGTCTATGTCCTTGCCTCTCCGTCCTTTAGTTCTGTGTGTCTCTGTTCTTTCCTCTCTCTATCCTCTAAATATGTGTATGTATATGTCTGTGTAAGTAGGAATATGAGTGAGTAATCCTTCACACTTAGTACATTAGTTGATGAAGTAAACATGTCTCTGAGCTGGTAGGACACCAGATTAAAATATGCAGTCATATAAAACTAGGGTCCCTTCTCCTAAATGTCATCTCAATATTGAATCCTGTCATATGTTCCAGGCATAATCCTGTCCCCTGTCCTCCCTACAAAACCTGGACGCAAGGCCTTCCTCCTGGTGCTTGATGGGAAGACGCTCAAGGAGCTGGCCAGAGCAGAGACGCCCCTAGCAGAGACGCCCCTGGTGTCAAGATGCCAATCACCTTCCATGGGTCGTTCATACCCTGAAGAAACGACTTGCACAGAGCTGTGTTTTTTTACAATATCGGCAATGGAAATACATAATATTCAATACACATTTCAAAAATATATATTGATGATAACATTCCCTTTAATGTAATAATCATTTGTTATCCATACCTGATAATTAATAATACGAAGCTGACAGTTTGCTATCGTTGATGGTAAACCTTCAGTGCCATATGTATTGTGATGTCATGTCATGTACCATTAATTCTGTTTGTATTACATGGGGTATGTTGTACTGTTAGTGGTATCATTAATATGGTTGTGTATAATATGGTTCTATGATCTTTAACCAGTTGTCATTTTATAAGATTGTCTTGAAGTAATAGTTTGTTCCCTAGGGTAGCATAGTGGTTAAAATGCTTGCTCATCATGGCAGACCTGGGTTCGATTCCCCACATATGTGTCAAGCCTTCTGTGCCTTGTATAATTTACGCTGGTCCCAAACAATGTACAGGTATATGCAAGATAGAAATTGCTATCATGTTTGATAGTTCCATTATCTTTTACTGCAAATTTGGTTAAACCTTGTTAATGCCAAACAGTTTGTCCAGAACAGCGACTTCTTTACGAATATGGTTGAGAACATCTGCAATCCTCCATACCAATGTATGTTGGTAATCTTGGAATTTGTGAGATGGGTGATTCTGCTCCAAACATTGCCGTCCAGTTTAGCAAAGTTTCATCAAGTTTCATAATTTGAGAAAACAGTTTTGTCGGTGGTTGCTGCTGAAAGATTGTTTGACATTTGACAAGATGTTCAATGTTGTGATTTTTCATCTTCTTCATCTTTATTTTGTCTGTGAAACACATGGAGATGCTATTTCGGTAAGACTACAGAATACCGGATACCTTCCGCCATCTTTGAAAGCACGCGAGTTTACTTAGGGTTAGGGTAAGGTTTAGGGTTAGGGTAAGGTTTTTGGTTAGGGTTAGCGTTTGGGTTCGGGTGATGTGACACTAAACAATATGGCTGGTAGGTATCCGGTATTCTGTAGGTGTACCGGTATTTCCAGCCATAGTACCTGATAATTCAGGTATAATTAAACGTGTGGTATATGCTTGTAGTGCCTGTTTTTGAAACATTTTGATGATATTTGTGATGAATCTGGCGTGTTGATTCTATTTGGATGTATTTAATGCCTGTTGCCATTTTGTTCCATTTGTAAGTGACCAATTATTTAACCTAAACTATCTTTTTGTGTGACATGTTGAAAATGCAGGGAAATCACCTATCATTGTGGTGATTGTTTTACGCACAGTTGGCTATAATCATTTTTCTTACCAACTTTAGCATTCTATATATTTTGACTTGTTAAATGATATTTATGACAATCATTTCTATATTTGTCTTTTTAGCACATGATAAAACAAGTTAATGTTGTTCTGGTTTTATACAGCTTTTTTTACATCTAGTTTGTTCTGTTTGATTCTTACCAAATATGTATTTTTATTGAATATGACTGATTGGCGTACACCATGAACAGTTACAAGTGTTAAAAGCACAGTTTCACACATTTTCGACAATATTTTGGCCTATATTGTATATATTTTGGGATATGCATTCACTTTAGCTTCCTATTAGTGCAATAAAAGACATATTATCCCTTACGACTTACCTGAAATCAATAATGGAAACTTCGAGGCGAACAGCTTCCAAACAGATAACACTTGCCATATGTGGAATTTAAATGATTGCTCCGTACATAGAAAACTGTCGCACACGGTGTTGCTGCTGTTGGCTGAACTGGCCTCAATCACACGTTGTGCGTAGGATATTCGTAAAGAGCGCTCCATTGGACATAAATCTATGGGGTTCGCTTGAAATAATGTTCGTCCGGTGGAAAGCTGGAGAGTTGATTTAATGCAACGTTGCATTAATTCATTCGAACTTTATGATTTAATTTTGTAATCTTAATGCATAATTTTGTATTCAAATAAATTATATGGTAGCTTCCCTGAGGGATGATAGTTAATATTTTTGAGAGAAATGCATTACGTATTTTAAGAGAAATGTGGTGTGGCATTGTGCCTTTAAGAATATTCAAATGGGAGTATGCCTCCAAATTGTCAACGCATGGATATGCGTCAACTGGGGAATTAGCTCATAATTACGATGAAGTGTACGTACAATACGTTGACAAGACGAAGGTATAGTTGAGTTCAAACTTCTTTAGTTACATGACAAACAAATATACAAGACATAAATGAGGTGAGCGGAGTACCTGCTCAACCCCAGGGCTTTCCTACGAGCGGCGACCGCCTCTGTGGTGTAGTGGTTAGAGCGTCCGCCCGGAGAGCCGGAAGGTCGCTGGTTCGATCCCCGACCGCGTCATACCAAAAGACGTTAAAATATGGTACTTGTTGGTCCCCTGCCTGGCGCTCGGCATTAATGGGTACAACAAGGACTGGTCGGCTCGAGTCAGTATAATGTGTCTGAGTGGGGTATTCATGCTTCACTGCGGCATGGTATCTCAGTGGGCTAGCACTATAAAACCAGCTTAAGTCTGGGCTAGTACAAGCAGCCGCACATACACATACACACGCATGCAAGTCGTCATATGAGCGAAATATTCTCAAGCACGACGTTAAACCCAATTTCACCTCACCTCCTACGAGCGGCATTATCCTGCCTGCCGTCGTCCTTACACAAGCAGGCAGTATACCGGACTCGACTCTGTTCTTCAATGTATATGTGAGCATATATAATACAGTTCTTGACAACAATGGACAGATAGAAAAACAATAGCACTTCCTTGACCAGTTGATGTGATGGCAGACACGGCCAAGGGGAATGACCAATAAAGGTTGTATTTGTCATATACAGTAATTAATTGCCTGACAACTCAGTGTACAATGCAGAAGTGATAAGGATTACATAGAATACAGATTAGCAACATATAAACAATTACAATTAAGTCTCACATGTCTTCAGTACATATTTTTTACATTTAAAATAGTTGGACGATGGCTGTCCTGAATTAGTCCCTATTACAACTGCCTCCTCGATCAGTCCATTTTTGCTGACAAAGGAATTTCAGTCTTTTGCCATTCCGTTGGCATGGACATATCAACCCTGAAGTAGATCAGTCCATTCCGTTGACAAGGAGGTATCTGTCCAATCCATGGCATTGATGTAATCTGGACATAAGGGGAAAGTCAGCTACATATCTGAACACTGCCCAATCCATGGCACTAATGTGATCTATACATAAGGGGAAAGTCAGCTACATAGTTGAACATTGTCCAATCCATGACACTGATGTAATCTAGACATTGTGGGAAAGTCAGCTACACAGTTGAACATTGTCCAATCCATGGCACTAATGAAATCTAGACTATTGTGGGAAAGTCAGCTACATAGTTAAACATTGTCCAAACCATGGCACTAATGTAATCTAGACATTGTGGGAAAGTCAGCAACATAGTTGAACATTGTCCAATCCATGGCACTAATGTAGTCTAGATGTATGGGAAAAGTCAGCTACACAGTTAAACATTGTCCAATCCATGGCACTAATGTAATCTAAACAATGTGGGAAAGTCAGCTACATAGTTGAACATTGTCCAATCCATGGCACTAATGTAATCTAGACATTGTGGGAAAGTCAGCTACATAGTTGAACATTGTCCAATCCATGGCACTAATGTAATCTAGACATTGTGGGAAAGTCAGCTACATAGTTGAACATTGTCCAATCCATGACACTAATGTAACATTGTGGGAAAGTCAGCTATGTAGCTGAACATTGTCCAATCCATGACACTTATGTAATCTAGACATTGTGGGAAAGTCAGCTACATAGTTGAACATTGTCCAATCCATGACACTAATGTAATCTAGACATTGTGGGAAAGTCAGCTACACAGTTGAACATTGTCCAATCCATGACACTTATGTAATCTAGACATTGTGGAAAGTCAGCTACATAGTTGAACATTGTCCAATCCATGGCACCGATGTAATCTAGACATTGTGGGAAAGTCAGCTACATAGTTGAACATTGTCCAAACCATGTCGCTAATGTAATTCTAGACGTGTGGGGAAAGTCAGCTACACAGTTGAACATTGTCCAATCCATGGCACTAATGTAATCTAGACTATTGTGGGGAAGTCAGCTACACAGTTGAACATTGTCCAATCCATGGCACTAATGTAATCTAGACATTGTGGGAAAGTCAGCAACATAGTTGAACATTGTCCAATCCATGACACTAATGTAATCTAGACATTGTGGGAAAGTCAGCTACATAGTTGAACATTGTCCAATCCATGGCTCTAATGTAATCTAGACATTGTGGGAAAGTCAGCTACATAGTTGAACATTGTCCAATCCATGACACTAATGTAATCTAGATATTGTGGGAAAATCAGCTACACAGTTGAACATTGTCCAATCCATGGCACTAATGTAATCTAGACTATTGTGGGAAAGTCAGCTACATAGTTGAACATTGTCCAATCCATGACACTAATGTAATCTAGACATTGTGGGAAAGTCAGCTACATAGTTGAACATTGTCCAATCCATGGCACTAATGTAATCTAGACTATTGTGGGAAAGTCAGCTACACAGTTGAACATTGTCCAATCCATGGCACTAATGTAATCTAGACATTGTGGGAAAGTCAGCTACGTAGCTGAACATTGTCCAATCCATGACACTTATGTAATCTAGACATAATGGGAAAGTAAGCTACATAGTTGAACATTGTCCAATCCATGACACTAATGTAATCTTGACATTGTGGGAAAGTCAGCTATGTAGCTGAACATTGTCCAATCCATGACACTTATGTAATCTAGACATAATGGGAAAGTCAGCTACATAGTTGAACATTGTCCAAACCATGGCACTAATGTAATCTAGACATTGTGGGAAAGTCAGCTACATAGTTGAACATTGTCCAAACCATGGCACTAATGTAATCTAGACATTGTGGAAAAGTCAGCTACACAGTTGAACATTGTCCAATCCATGACACTAATGTAGTCTAGACGTATGGGGAAAGTCAGCTACACAGTTGAACATTGTCCAATCCATGGCACTAATGTAATCTAGACATTGTGGGAAAGTCAGCTACATAGTTGAACATTGTCCAAACCATGGCACTAATGTAATCTAGACATTGTGGGAGAGTCAGCTACATAGTTGAACATTGTCCAATCCAGTAATGTAATCTAGACATTGTGGGAAAGTCAGCTATGTAGCTGAACATTGTCCAATCCATGACACTTAATGTAATCTAGACATTGTGGGGAAAGTCAACTACACAGTTGAACATTGTCCAATCCATGGCACTAATGTAATCTAAACATAGGGGGAAAGTCAGCTACATAGTTGAACATTGTCCAATCCATGGCACTAATGTAATCTAGACATTGTGGGAAAGTCAGCTACATAGTTGAACATTGTCCAATCCATGGCACTAATGTAATCTAGACATTGTGGGAAAGTCAGCTACATAGTTGAACATTGTCCAATCCATGGCACTAATGTAATCTAGACATTGTGGGAAAGTCAGCTACATAGTTGAACATTGTCCAATCCATGATACTAATGTAATTTAGACGTGTGGGGAAAGTCAGCTACACAGTTGAACATTGTCCAATCCATGGCACTAATGTAATCTAAACATAAGCGGAAAAAGTCAGCTACACAGTTGAACATTGTCCATCCATGGCACTAATGTAATCTAGACTATTGTGGGAAAAGTCAGCTACACAGTTAAATATTGTCCAATCCATGGCACTAATGGAAATCTAGACATTGTGGGAAAGTCAGCTACATAGTTGAACATTGTCCAATCCATGTCACCTTATGTAATCTATACACGTGGGAAAGTCAGCTACATAGTTGAACATTGTCCAATCCATGGCACCTCTAATGTAATCTAGACATTGTGGGAAAGTCAGCTACATAGTTGAACATTGTCCAATCCATGGCACTAATGTACTCTAGATGTATGGGAAAAAGTCAGCTACACACTTAAACATTGTCCAATCCATGGCACTAATGTAATCTAAACAATGTGAGAAAGTCAGCTACATAGTTGAACATTGTCCAATCCATGATACTCAATGTAATCTAGACATTTGTGGGAAAGTCAGCTACACAGTTGAACATTGTCCAATCCATGGCACTAATGTTATCTAGACTATTGTGGGAAAGTCAGCTACACAGTTGAACATTGTCCAATCCATGGCACCAATGTAATCTTGACATTGTGGGAAAGTCAGCTATGTAGCTGAACATTGTCCAATCCATGACACTTATGTAATCTAGACATAATGGGAAAGTCAGCTACATAGTTGAACATTGTCCAAACCATGGCACTAATGTAATCTAGACATTGTGGGGAAAGTCAGCTACATAATTGAACATTGTCCACACCATGGCACTAATGTAATCTTGACATTGTGGGAAAGTCAGCTACACAGTTAAACATTGTCCAATCCATGACACTAATGTAATCTAGGACGTATGGGGAAAGTCAGCTACACAGTTAAACATTGCCCAATCCATGGCACTAATGTAATCTAGACATTGTGGGAAAGTCAGCTACACAGTTGAACATTGTCCAAACCATGGCACTAATGTCATCTTGAC